CCGAGGGCGCCACGGCAGGTGACGGGAGGGGGGCCACGCACGGGCCCCCGAGAGCGGCTCGACGGGCGACGGGAGGGGCCGCGCGCGGGCCCCCAAGGTGCCGCGACGAGGCGACGGGAGGGGGCGGCGCGCGGGCCCCCAAGGCGCCGCGACGAGGCGACGGGAGGGGGGCGACGCGCGGGCCCCCAAGGTGCCGCGACGAGGCGTCAGGAGGGGGAGGACGCGCGGGCCCCCAAGGCGCCGCGACAAGGCGACGGGAGGGGCCGGCGCGCGGGCCCCCAGGGCGCCGCGACGAGGCGACGGGAAGGAAACCGCCGCGCGTCTCGGGGCGCACGGCGGGCAGAAAACCGCCGCACGCCCCGAGCGCACGGCGGGATGAAAAACGTCGCGCGCTCCGAGCGCGCGGCAGGAAGATAGGGTCGCGCGCCCGGGGCACGCGACAGCAGTAGAGCAGCGGAAGCATCGGGTGGGGCCCACCCACAGGATCGACCCAGGAGGGTCGACCTGCTCTGATAGCATGTCAGAATCAACAAGAGTTGCAAAAGAAGAATGACGAAAGAGGGGTTTTCACTAGCAGCAGTTGGGGTACATATAGCAAACCCTAACTGGGTTGTACTCGCTATAGAGCACCCCACTACAGGCTAGATAATAGCATTCTGACACTCGCGCCACATTGGAACCCATGCAAAGCCCTGCTTCGCCAACAGGGCATCATCTCGGAAGCGCATCTTTGCGCCACCTTACTCCATGAACAGCGCGACATGGACTTCAACCAAGAAAAAGGGACGCGCGGCGAACAAATCGCCTTCTATTCCGATCGCGACCACCGAAGAAATCGCGACAATCGGCCTCGACAATACTACTGCAAGAACTGCAAGGCCTTCGGTCACTCCACCGAACGATGCCGATCCGGACCCCGTCCAAATCCTGCACCGCGCAACAACTCTGCACCAACATCAGACCATTCGCGCCAGGCCAACCGACCGTCCTCGGACTATCGGTTCGTCCCGCGCCCACAGACACACCCAGACCAACAGCGGCCACCACAGACCAACAATGTCCGCCACGTCATGGGAAATATGGCGATGCGTGTTCGCCGCCGCACCCGCCGCACAAACCGGCGACATCTCCGCTACGTCTCTCCGCCTCCGCCCGGACAAGAGGTCGAGTTCAATTCGTACAACAACCCATTCACACAAGACGGAGAATTCGTCTCCGACGAAAATGAGCAAGACCGGAACCTGCCCCCACCGCTGCTGGAGTCACCACCTCACGATGAAGATTTCCTCACCTCACCGTCAATCACCACCTACTATTTCGGCCACAACATCGACACTCGCCCTCTCGACAACTACGTTGCTGCTGGCGACAGACGCATCCCATTTCGCAACACACCGAACCTCGCGCTCTCAGCCCAGTGCCGTGGAAATTGCCACAACACATGGTTCCTCGACAGCTGCTGCGGGCAACACATGGTCGGCTCCGATCGCTACATCTCAAACGCCTACCCCATCCCCGAACCTACCATCATCACCGTTGCGAACGCACAGCAGCTGCACGCCCACGCATGCGGCATAGTCGTCCTCAAAGCGCACGACAGTGATATTCACTTCACTCTCAACGATGTTCTCATCGTACGCCATCTTGAGTACAACCTTCTCTCCTACGATCAACTGGTGCAAAGCGGAGTTCTCATGCATACACACCCCGAGACACGCGACATCATCATGCACTGGAAAGATTACATCACACTGAACAGCACACCACGATACATCGGCAGAGCTCATTTCGAAGACGGCGTGTACATCCTCGATTTTGACATCCCCGATTGCAGCGCCGACTCAGTCGATCTCATCGACCTCGTCCTTCAGGACGTGGCATGGTCAAACAAGCCAACTCATCCTGACGGACGCCCCTGGGTCAAGCATCATGCTCACCCCAGGGAAATCGACCTTCACGCCCCCGGACCTGACGGACTCTGCCGCAACTGCCGCACGCCAACAGCCTCGTCTACAGAAGACAGAGCACAGCAACGCCAACAACCCCCCGCGCAAAGAACTCCCTCGCCCAACAAAGAAAAGGGCACAGCACACGAAGGAGAATCCTCCGCCGCCGCCGCGATGGACGCCGAAGTTGTCGCTCTCGAAGCTCGTGACACCTGGATCCTCGCCGATCGCGCAGCGCTGAAGGGGAGACGCGTCCTCTCGGGGAAATGGGTCTTCCGCGTCAAAACCGCCGCCGACGGTACCATCGAACGCTTCAAAGCACGCTGGGTCGTTCGCGGCTTCGATCAACGCCATGGCATGGACTTCGACCAGACATTTGCCCCCGTCAACCGACACACGTTCGTTCGCATCCTCCTCGCCATCGCAGCTGCAAGACATCTCCCTCTTCGCCAAATCGACGTCAAAAACGCCTTCCTTTACGCCCCCGTCGACGCGCTTATTTTCGTCGAACAACCACACACCTACGGCGATGGTGACAACCGCGAGTGTCAGCTCCGCAAATCTCTCTACGGCATCAAACAAGCACCACGCCTTTGGCAGCAACACCTTCATCAAATCCTCCTGGACATCGGCTTCACACAACTACCCCACGACCCTGGCATGTATCGTCTTCACTACCGTGGAGACTATATCCTCCTCACGGCGCACGTGGATGATCTGCTCTATACCGGCACCAACAACACTCTTCTCGAACAATTCGAGAAGAACCTCAGCAACCGCGTCGAGGTCACCAGCAACAGCTCCGTCACTCAATTCCTGGGACTCAACATCACCTATGCTGACGACGCCATCCACCTCTCCGCCGCCAAGTACGCAGACACCCTCTCCACCAAATTCAATATCAAACCGGCCAACCTCTCCACCCCTTACCGCACCCCGGCGACCGCTTCCACCATCATCACCAAACCTCTCAACCACGTCGAGCATCAGCTGTACCAGCAACAACTCGGTTGCCTTCTCTTCGCCGCTGTGACATGCAGGCCTGACTTGTCCTACATAGCGAGCCAGCCCGCTCAGTATGCCAAGCGGCCTGAAGGGGAGCACATGCTGGACTTACAGCGCGCCCTCCAATACTTCATCTCCACACCGCACATCGGACTCACCTACTCCACCCTCGCGACTCGCTCATTCAACCTCGTTGGATACGTGGACGCAGATCACGCCGCCGACCCTGGAAATCGACGGTCCCGAACCGGCTTCCTCTTGCGCCTCGAGCCAACAGGACCCATTTCCTGGAATTCCCAGAAGCAGGAAATGGTGGCGCTTTCCTCTGCTGAAGCTGAGTTCGTCGCCGTCACAACAGCCGCTCGCGAAGGCCTCTACCTCCAAGAACTGCTTCAGGAGGCGAAAATTGCGACGCCCGCAAGCTTCAAACTGCACTGCGACAACCAAAGCGCGATCAAGATCGCGAAAAAACCTGGCTTCGTCAACCTCACCAAGCACATCGCGCTCCGCTACTTCTTCGTTAAAGACGAAGTTGACAAGGGCAAAGTCATCTTGACTTACTGCCCCACCGGTGACATGGCGGCCGACTTCCTCACCAAGAAACTGCCACGCCAGCAGTACCACCACTGCGGAACCATCTGCGGTATAACCAAGCGCGTCAAGTCTTCGCCACTCCAGGAATGAAGGGGAGTGTTACGATATGGAATGATTGAATAAACATTCCTAGAGTAACGAACCCTCAACGCGAAGATGACTGCAGCGAGGACGAAAGACTAAGCGTCAGGACAGTTATCGAAGACAGTTGCAAGCAGGAAGAATTCGAAATGAAAAGTGCGGGAAAAGTTCAAACGGTTACCGAACCGCGTACGGTTACCGAGCCGCACGGTTGCGATACTGCATCTAGGTTAGCCCTAAGGGGAATGTACCCCCTCAGAGTACATGGCTAGCTAGGACCTTTCGTATTCCACTGTATTCCTATATAAACCCCTGTACCGCATTGTGTTAATCACTTCTGTCGAGATTCAAATCTCCTTCTACTGACAGAGTCCGTACCCGACATTACTCATCAAACTTCCGCTGCTACACTACAGTGCGATCAACCTGAGACGATCCTATAAGACGGTTTAGATTGTATCAATAAGTATCGATTTTTCAACGGGTGTGCTTATAATTGAGGATCGGCCATAAGCGCATTGCTCCAGATCAGGGCTGACTTTTCGAATAAAACCACTCTGATTTTTTTGGCCCCCCAATTTTTTTTAGTCTGAGGCCCATTTTCCAAAAAGTGAATACTCTGATTTCTCAGGAACCAGAGAAGTATAACTCTGAAAATTTTATAATTCAGACTAAGGCAGGTTTTCCTACTAACGAACCTTTTGCACAAGTTCGGAGGGATGGGTTTTCCTCGAAGTAACAGGTATGGCGAAGGGGAGTTCGTACTCTGTAGTATGAAAACTCATTATCCGGTAAGCAAGTTCTCTGAATTTTTCAGTATCGAAAAAACCATTAGTCTGAAGCACTCATTTTTCAAAACCAGCCAACTCTGAAAAATCAGGAATGTCAGGAAAATAGTCTGAAATTTCAGACAATCAGACTAAAATAGTCTGATATCGTCAGCCCTGCTCCAGATACAAGCACATGCGCCTTAAATAGGCCTGCGCTTACATCCGGGGCCATATGGTATTACTGGTATGTTGGACCGTACCGTTTGCTACCAAGAAAACTTCAGCTGTAGATGATTGGCTGGACGAATTATTTGCCATGCAGCGAATTGCGGTATTTTTTAGACGGCTGACCAGGTACAGTACGGTATATGGAGTTGTTCAATGCGAAAACATTTTCAAGAATACTGAAGCTAAGGTACCCCAATTGCCAGTACACAATAACTTCGTTTCTGCTAAGGAAAACTGATTCCCTTCATGGTAATCCAATCTCTTATGACTAACAAATCCCCACCCTCTCTTCCCCCCTCCCCATTACCCCTAAACGCCCCTGGGCGGTATATCGGGGGAATGCGGTACAAGGGGAGCTGGTTATAACCGCCCTGGTTCACGTGGCAAGGACCTTGAGCCTGCTCATCAGTCCGCCAATGCCTCGCTTCCCCTTCTCCTTCTCGCCTCCCTGCGCCTCTGGCAACTCCTCTGCGGGTGCCATCTGTGCTGCCTGCTCCGCCCGGCCCTGCTGCCCTGCCACTCCCCGCCCTGCCCGCTGCCCCGCCTCACGGGGAGCCCTCCTAGTCACCCCTGCTCCCCGGCCCCCACCTTGTCCTCCCCGTGCCCCCTGTGCCCGGCTTGCGGCCTTTGGCTCATCCACAACCTTGGCCGGCATGGGCTTGGCCGGCATGGGCTTGGCGGGCACTTCCGCTTCCTCCTCGCTCTCATCCTCCGTCATGCTGCGCATCAACAGCTTGCTCTTCCTTCCCGCGTTGGCACTCGCCGCCTTCTGCTTCGCTCCTCCAGCATCTGCGTGCTGCTCGTTATCTCCACCCGCCACATGCCCCTCAGCCTTACTTCCCTCAGCCGTGCTCCCCTGTGCCGCATGTGCGTCCCCCTCATCGTCTGACAGGCACCTCACAAGGCTGCCTCCTGCCATGCCTTCCCCATGCGCCGTGTCCCCATGTACTTCCTCTTCCCCACTCACCATCTTCCCCTGCACCACACCTTCTCCATTTTCCATCTCCCCTCTCGCCTGCCTGGTTGCGCCCTCCCCCTCCGCGCATGCCTGTCCTTTCGTCCGCTCCCTCACCTGCACGCCCCGCCCTGCACCCTCACGTCCGCCTTCGCTCTCCCCGCCACCATGCCCCTCTGCCACGCCCGTATCCGCATCCTCGTCAGCATCCTCAGTCATGCTCCTCGCGAGCAAACCACTCTTTCTTCCACAAGTGCCGTTCACTGCCTTCTGCTTTGCTCTGCCACCAGCGCTGTGCTGCTCGCTCTCTCCACCCGCCATATGTCCCTCAGCCATGCTCGCCTTCCCTGCATCCGCGTCCTCCTCATCGTCCGACAGGCACCTCACCAGACTGCCTCCTTCCTTCCCCACCGCGCGCACCTTGTCCCCACGGACCTCCTCTGCCTCACCCACCGCTTTCCCGCGCGCCACACCCTCTCCACTTTCTCTCTCCGCTCCCGCCCGCCCCTTTGGGCTCGCCCCCTCCCCCCGCACCTTCCCTTTCCGCTGTTCCCTCACCTGCGCGCCCCGCCCCGCAACCTCACGTCCGCTTTTGCTCTCTCCTCCGTCATGTCCCCGCCCCGGGCCCGTATCCGCCTCATCGTCTCCATCCTCGGTCATGCTCCGGACAAGTGAACTACCTTTCCTGCTTGACTTGCCAATCACCGCCTTATGCTTTGCTCCGCCAGCAGCGCTGTGCTGCTCGCCCTCTGCACCCCTCACGTGCCCCTCGGCCTTGCTCGCCTCTACCGCATGTGCGTCCTCCTCCTCATCGTCCGACAGGCACCTCACAAGACTGCCTCCCGCCTTCCCCACCGCGCGCGCCTTCTCCTCGTCGTCGTCCCGCAGGCTCCGCGCCAGGCTACCCCGCTTCGCACAGCCTGCGCCCAAGCCCTTTGCGTCTTCCCCCCTCACCGTTCTCTCGCCGGAGCGCCCTTGACACTCGCCCTCGCCACCCCCCTCGTCCGCCTCCATGCTGCGCGGTTTCACTCGCCCCTTCCCTGCGCCCCTCGCCTCCGCTGCCGCCTTCCCCCGCCCGCCCGCCATTGCCTTCGCCGCTCCGCCCGAGTCCTCCGCGCCCTCGTCCTCCTCCATCGGCCGCGCAAGCCGTCGCCCGCTCGGCCCTTTCGGGCTCGCCTTGGGACTCGCCTGCGCCTTCGACTTCCCGCGCGGCCGCTCAGCCGGCGCTTCGTCGCGCGCCTCCTCGTCCTCCGTCAGGCTCCGCGCCAGACTGCCCTTCTTGCCGCTTCCCGCCCTCGCGGACACCTCCCCGCCACTACGCGCCCCCACGCTCTCCGCCGACTCCTCCGCCCACGCCGCCTCCTCCGCGCGCCCCTGCACGCCCAGAACGGGACTGCCGCATGGGTCCTCCCCCACGACTTCGTCCGCCGCTCCCCCCTCCGCTCCGCCCTCCTCGCCCGCTCTCCTCCCCTCCTCCGCCTCGTTTCTCTGCTCTTTGCGCGTTCGCTCGCGACCCGGCTCGCTCCGCCTCTCACCACCCTTCACCTCGCCGCCGCCTATCCAGGACTTTTCCCAGCCCTGGGGTGGCGCCGCCGTGTCATCGACGCTCTTGCGCCGGCCGTCGCTGGCGGCCGCCGCCGCTGCGCGCATCATGGCCTCCATGCCATCCGCGCCCATGCTCGCGCGCCTCCCCGGCTTCACCCGGCCGGCATGCGCACCACCAGCAGCCGCCGCACCAGCAGCGCCAGCACCAGGGCCGGCTGAGGCGCGGGCATGGGGCGGCGGCGGGGAGGGGGAGGGCAGGTATCCGCTGCCCGCGGCCTCCATGCGCAGGTAGTCTTCCTTCCCCAGGCTCATGTGCTTCGACGCCCTCCGGGCTCCCCCGTGCGCGCCTTCCGCTGCCCTCACCATGTCTCCGCCGCTCGGCGGGGAGGCACCCGGGGTGAGCCCAGCGCGCGTTCCGCCAGCCGCCTGCTTCACGCCTGCCCGGGGTACGGCGGGCGCGTTGAGCGGCGACAGGCTGGGGTTGCCCGGGCCCGGCGAGGTGGCGACGTGCATGCGATCGTACTCCTGGTTACCCAGACTCGCGTGCTTCGTCGCCGCGCGCCTTCCGCGCGCGCCTGCCGCCGATCGCGCGCCACCAGCTGCGCTGCCGAGGGGCGACAGTGGGGGCATGAGAGCGCCGCTGGTGCCACCGTCGGCGACGCGGGCGTCGGGGAAATCGCCCATGCTGCTCGCGCGGTCGGGCTCGCGACGACCCGTCGATGAACCTGGCCGCGCCGCTCCGCCCCTCGGCGTTGTACCGCCGCTACTAGCGACGGGGGGGCCTGAACACCTCCCCTCGCCGTCGTCGCCCGCCGACCCTTCGACCCGGATGGAAGGTGCTCGGTTCTTTCGCGGCGCGGCGTGCCCCGGGGCGGCACCGTCGGGATTGCTGCTCCACGTCTTGGGGGAAGCCGTTCCCCGCGGCGACGGCAGCGGCGGGCCTTGAAGCTGCTCCCCGGTCTTGGGCCGCGGCAGCGCACGCGGCCCGGCGCCGGAGTGCGGCGACGAGGCTGTTGGGCCGATGCGCGGAGGGGGCTGGTCCGGCGGAGTGTGCGGGGATTCAGCCCCGCCGTCGTTGAAGGACCGTGAGACGGCTTGAGCGCCACGTGGCGACGGCGCTTGAACTGCTTGCGGACGTGGGCGGCCGCGCATTTGCGGCTGCTGCGGCGGCGCGTTCGCGTAGCGAGGAGACTCCGCGGTTGCGCCTCGCGAACCGCATTGCCCCTCCCACGACACGGACGGCGCCATGCCGTGCGACGGGCTGGGAGGTGCGCTGCCGCGCCGCGCCGACGCTGACGATCCGTCAGCGCTCTCAGGAGCCGGCCGCCTTCCGCTGTTGGAGGAGCGGCTGGCCGCCGCGCTAGGGCCGGCAGGCTTGTCGGCGGCGGCAGGGGCGTCGTCTTGGTCGTTGTCCTCGTCGGACGGCGGAGGGTCGTGTGGCTTCGTGTGGTCGCGATGTAGCAAGCCCATCAGCCGAGCCACCTGGTCCGCCCGATCTGGTTTCTGCTTCTCCTCCTTGTCTGGCTTGGATTTAGCAGCAGGCGCCATTTGAGGCAATTACGAAGTGTCGATAAGGGTGTTGTGGGGAAATGAAAAGAGTGACAGACAAATGGGAGTAGCTACAACTTTCCTGTGATGCGGTTTCCTGAAATAAAAAGTGGAATTTGAGTGCAAATGAGTTGGAATCAGGCCTGTCGAAGTTCCTGGGGCTCGTACTTGCGCTCCCCAGCTCCTCCCAATCTGACCCTTGGTTGGGGGTAGGTGAGCGTTTTGGCGCCCTTAAGGGTCACGGGCGCACCCCAAAGTCAGAACTTGAAATCAGGGCATGTTTGAAGTTTGCACTTACACTTCATTTTACTATGATAAGTGCTGTTATGTACTTAAATTAGAAGTCAAAGACACCTAACACTACACATGTCTTAAATAGTCATAAAACCTACCTAGCCTGCAAAGTTCTTATTCTCTACACTAACTACAGATATGGCATGCAGAGCTCAGCTACTCTACTCTAACCCGACATCCAATGCGAGCCTAGTTGGCAGGCTTCCTCCCCTTCCTCCCCTTATCCTCAAACAAGGCATAGGCCGCTGCCCAGTCCACCGGGTAGTCTAGCATCTTCACCGTCATCAGCTCCCCCAGCCTAACATCAGTAAGAGCAACACGATCCCACGACTTAATAATGTTTTGGCGGGAGAAGCCCCTCTCACACTCAACAGTGCTGAGGGGCAACACAGAGACCACACGCCAGAGAGAGACTATGGTGGGATAGTCATCCTTCCAGTCTGCAGTGCGCAGCATGTTGGTGAGAGCCTGATGGAAGCTCTGCTTCTTGAACTTCTTCTCCATGGTGGCTGTGAAGAGGCGCATCTGCGGCTCTATGTCAGCAAGAGCGACTCCTGCCAAGGACATATACAAAGTTAGATTACGTCATTGTGTGAGCATAATACGTACAAAGTTAGAACATACGTGGGTTCCTTTCATACTAATCTAGGCTTACCAGGTAGCTGGTTCTTGAACATGTCCAGGAGCTCGGTGAGATGGTGCTGCAGCCATGTGTCCTGCTCTCCTGCACGGAAGGGATACTTATCAGGGGTGAAAAACCCAACACCATCGAAATGGCGCAGGTCCGCCATCCTCTTCCCCAGCGCCTTAATCAGGCGCTGAGCGAAACGCCGCGCCAGGTCCACGCAGGCCTCCAAGTCGCATCCCCCCCCCGGGTTTTCAGGGTCGATGATGTCCTCGTGGAGCTCGATCTCGGCTTTTGCAGGTTTGCCGTCGCCACCCACTCCCTTGAGCTCCATCTTGCGCTTGTCCTTGCTGCCGTGTGCAGCAAGGAACTTGTTCAGGCGAGAGGTGTTCGGCCCGTAGGATGCGCTGGGCTCGACGTAGTACTGCGACAGCTTGGTCTTCACCTTGTCGACGTGATTCTTCACCTCTGTGATGTCGACCTGAAATCAAACGGAGCGGGAAAACATTAGAACCAAGCACTTAAGAGAAGAAGCGCCTAGTACATGTTCATGTCAATCTTACCGTCTGCTTCTGGAAGGCAAGATTGAGTCCGTTGAGCAGCTGCAGCACGTCAGCCAGGAGGTAAAGCATGTAGTGGAACTTGAAGCTGGTAGCGAGTTTCTCCATCCCGTCCTTCTCCTTCGTCCACATCCATATCAGCACCGGCAGCACGTCGCAGAAGCGATTCACAGCATCTCCGCGAGACAGCCAACGGACGGTGCAGAAGCCTTGCACCTCCAGGTGCGTCTTTAGAATGACGTCCTGGAGATGCATGTAGGTCTTGTGATCGGTCGATGAACGCCCGAGACGCTCGGCAGTCTGGCGTATCATCTGATCGACGACGTTGAACTCCTTGAAGCTCTTCGCGGCATCCTTTGCAGCCAATGCCTCGCTGCACAAGCACGACAGGTTCGTGAGTACGTATGGCGACGGTAATAAGATAACAGGACATTGCAGTGCAGCCTTACCGATGCGCCACGCAGTGAATCGCCACCAGCCACGGGCAACGTTTCCGAAGCAGGGCGACAACTCCGTTCTTCGAGCCAGTCATGACGGATGCACCATCCGTTGAAACCCCGACAAGCTTGTCCATCGACATGTCCTTCGACCACAGGCACTTCACGATCGTGTCGTACAGTGCAGCGGCGTCGCAATGCTCGAGCGACAGGAGAGCAAGAAACTGGGACACCACGGCCTCGCCTCTCTCAAACGTGACATACACGATGAGGTGCTTTCCGCGGGCGCGATCCGTGGATTCATCGAAGGAGAGGCTGTACCAGGCCGACTCTTTGACGTCCACGAGCTGCCTGGCCACCAGATGCTCCGCCATAGCCTCTACGAACTCGCCGAAGGCGTATCTGCAATGAGCACCAAATGTACGTTACTCACAGTATAACACAAGCACAAGTACGAAAATACAGAGGCAACGAAGAGAAGAAACAGCAGGACATTAGGTGCAGAACCAGAGGGTAACAAACACTTATCGCGAGTAATAACGCCCGTAGGATTCGCTGTTCATCATGTCGGGGCATCCTTGCTCCGCCATGAACCGCACCAGCATGGGGTAGAGAGCGATCGGTGCATCGTTCTGCGCAATCCACTGAGCTGCTTGCATGCATTTGACGACCCTCGCCATGACTGGATCGCCGCTGAGCATGTTCACGAGGCTGCGCTGCCTCACCTCCGTGCCAGCAGCGAGTCGTTCTGCTTCCATGGCCGCGAGGTGCACCTTGGACTGGTCATGGTTGCGGCACGCCGACTTCTGAAAGTCCCTTGCACCGACGCCAGCACCGCCAAAGGGAGACTTGGTGTTAGGAGCGAACTTACAGCACACGGAACACTTCATACCATACAGGCGCTCCTCTTTGTTGTACTTCAGTGTCAGCCACGAGTACGTCTGCTTCCACGACGGGCTGAAGCGACGTGCCATACCCTTCTCAGCAGCAGGGATCTCGGTGTCCGGGGGCACATCTGCATCCTCGGCGATAGCCTTGTCCTGCGCCTCCAGCTCCTCAGCAGTGGGTGGAGGCGGTACGCTTCGTGCGCGCTTTCGCGAATCTGGTGGCGGACTTGCGAAGCTAAGGTGAACCTGACGGTAGCGGGCTGCTGACAGAGGTGTAGTCTGTGACGATGATGCTTGCTGGGCGAGGCGCGGGTCCAACACTGAGATTGCTACGTCTAGCATGTCTTCAGCATCCGAGGGTACGTAAGGCTCGGTCTCGGTCGTAGTATGAGAATGACTAACGTTCGACATGGGCAAAACTGGAGGAGGGGTTTCACCCTCGCTAGGATCCATTGTGGGAGAATGTGGCTGACGAAGCGAACGGGTTAGCTACCCATACTATAAACATCGCGTGCGTGAGCTAGGCGATGCGAGGTTTACTCGGCAGAGTGGTTGGGTGGAGGAGAAGTGCCATAGCATGGCACGTACGAGAGGGGAGGGGAGAGCTGAGGGCTTGGGTGGATGATACCGTGGAGGTGGTGGGACGGTGCGGAAGAGAAAACATGGGTGGGATGTGGTGGTGGATGGATTGCATGGTGGTGGAGAGGAATCGTGGCTCGCACGAACGAAGGTGGTGAGGGAGGGAGCTGCTGCGCTGGAGTGCTTCAGTTCCTTTGACGTGCTGTGGTTTAGTGTCTTAGATGTCTCTGTGGCCAAACAACTTAGCCAGATTTACCCAAGATAATCCCATGTGTCACAGCTGTACACTGCGGCCAGCTCGTATTGGACGCTAAGGGAATGTGCGGATGCTCCTAGGCTGACTGAGAGACACGCTACACACACGGGATTGGCTACAAAACGCTAAGGGAAAAATCCCCTTGGCGCGCTCTAGTGCAGGCTAAGGAGAAAGAGGGGGGGGAGGGGGGGGGGGGGGGGGGGTCCTACGATCTGAAACCAAAACTTAGATAAAGGGGAAGGCCTGGTTTCGTCCCTTAACGCATCCGGGCAAGGGTCGAATGAAGCACTTAGTGGCACGGGTGGGGTGCGAAACAAAAACTTGACGCATTGGAGCTGGAGCGAAACTAGCCCTTAATGTTCAGGGCATTAAGGGCATATGCCCGTCAATCGACAGGCCTGGTTGGAATGGACTTGAGAGGTGCGTCTTGACTGAGGTGGGAAAAGGAGGTGTCAGGGGTTGAATGGGGAAACAAACCCCCTGGTTGTAGGAGGGAGAATGATCCAACGTGGCCTGGGTCAGAAGGGAAGGTGAAAGGACGGTTGCGATTAGCTGAAAGGGTCCATCCTTCCCTCGTGGCAGTCATCCTTCCCTAAGGACGTGGACCAGACCGCCTCTGATTACCTCGATCAGAGGCATTCAACAACTTCCAAGAAGCCCCAAGGCCAATTTCAGGCAATCAGGGGCAATCAGCTGATCGCGATCAATTGATCGTCCCAACTCGATCAACCACCTAAAACACCCCAATCAATCACGATCACACACAATCAGTCTAAATCAGTTAATTGCATGTGATTGGGGATCTTGGCGACACTTGCGAAAAGGTTACATTTTATCGTTTAGCTCGTCAATCCATCGTGCATGATTTCGTGAAGTGTAATTTGCGACATTACATGGAAACGATAAATTCGCTACGTCTTCGTTCTCGCCAAAATGGGGACGAAAGGATAAGGAAATGCTGACGCGCCTGCCGGGCACTCGCCTTAAATTTTCTAGGAATAACAGCACTGATCGGGCGGCGCGAGCAATGCAATCACAAGCAACCCGATCAGATCAGACCCGATCAGATCAGTGCCGATCAGAGGCGGTCTGGGCCACGTCCTAAGGATGACTGCCATGCCATGCCACCCCGAATTGAGGTCCTTGAAATAAAACAAGCAAAACGTCCTTTCTTCCATGACCGGAGCAGTACTTACAGTCTGCTGTAATGGTAGGGGGATGGCACAGTCTTACACGTTCAGTATTAAATTGAGCTCAAAACGGCACAAGCAGCATGATGCTGGGTTTGGGTTTGAGCTCGTGGGTGGGTTCGATTCGAAGGTGGGAGGGAGAGACGGGGTAAATTCCCTTCCCTGTCCATTGGAAGGGTTGACAACATGGCCCTGTTCGGTAGCCCCCACAGTCACACTGCGATTGGTGCAGGTGCTCTTCCTCGGCCCAATTTCGGCTCACCTTAAAGCCCACCGAACCGTTATTAGAACACCATACCTGCCCAGTGCAAATTGGCTACCGAACGCGTGAAAACCCCAGTCCGAGTGAAGTTGAGGACGCTACCACGAAAATGCTTGCTCAGGCAAGCTCGACCGCCAGTGAAAGTCAACCCCATTTCTGCTTTCCAGTTCCACTGAGGCAGGCCCGCTCTGAGTGGCACGCTGTAGGGTAAACGCTGCATTAGTTTCGAATCGGGTCAAATTATGTTTTTCAGCTCGCTCGTTCAAATGATGAGAGGTCGTGCCCGTTCGTGATTTTCTTTTATCCATATCGAGGGTGTTTCATTTGGCGGGCTGTTTTTTGTTTGTGAGTTGGGCAGCCTCGTACAGAAGTAAAAGTTTCGACCAGTAATTTCTCGAGAAACACACGGTAACTTCTTGCTTTTGTGGACGAGACTTCCTTTCAGTGTGAGTGGACGCCCGAGGCTACGAAACATGTCGTAGGCTTCCCCATTTCGAGTGGGCCCAGTGTGACTGGAAGGCTACCGAACAGGGCCCATGTGGTCGCTGTCGCTGTGGTCACCCCTTGTCAAGAAAAGACACAAAACCCATTGGCGAACTTTGTCATCCCTTCCACGCTGTACGTGGTGGTCCAGTTCTGATTATGCGGAGCCTACATAGATTTGGTTACCCTAATTAAAAGGCTTCTTGATGGCATTTTCTAGTTTCAAAATCACCATCGTTCATCTGTCTGCATCTTTGAATGTACCTTATTCCTTGATCATGAATGTACCAGCACCTTTTTTTTTCACGAACTTACGGTCAACAATGACGGAAGCAGCCGCCAGGATTCTGAAAATTGTCATGCATGGAACATCGTTACCACAGGGATTAGAAGATCTTTATGCAACATGTCTGGTTCGAATTGAATGTCTGACTGATGTGGCCTAGAAACGGCACAGTAAACTGAATGTCTACCACACCACGTTTCCGAAGTACTGTACGGACCATACTGTAGCATTTGTAGAAATAGGCAGTCACGGTATAATGTAAGGTGATCCAAAACAATGTCAGATTAGTAGTTCATGTCACCAAGTTATGCAACTCTAGCCAAGTGTAGTGTGTGTGCACTGCACAGGAAGCTATTAAGAGGAGAGCATAAGTTTTCCAAGATGGGTCTGCGGGATCACTCACTTCACAGAACCTCATTCATTAGCCATTCAGACACTGATCACTCATGCCAATTCGCAACCAGATGTATTACAAGCTGGAGGATTTGTAACAAAAGAACAGCTGCCATTGAGAAGCACTACACACTGCAAAGGATGTTAAGGAGCTGCAAAAAGATGCAGGCGGGTAACATAACATCCTGTGGTGGTAACCATCACATCCTGTGCCTTGCACTCCAAGGGGCCCCAGTGCATTATTGCAGGTCAGGGCAGGCGAGGCCGAAGCACACGGGAGATGTATTCACGTGTCTCTGGGACCATGCGCTGCAGCAGTGCATTGTACCTGCGGCAGGGAGGGGGGAAAAGAGGAGTTGCGTGCAGGAGAAGGGATGAGAGACGGCAGTGCGATTGGTGTGATGTGACAAACAGCATGCATGGGCAGCGGGAGACGAGTGCGCGGGCAGAGGACAGTGGGATGGCAGCGCCACGGCTCACATCCGTGAGTGGCGGAACCTGGAAGGTTCCGTGAGTTCACTGAACCAGAAGGTTCCGTGACTGGAAGGTGTGGACGAGGAGGCAGGTGTGGGTGTGGGTGGGGCATACCCGGGGAGGTTGCACATGTGCTCGTGGTGGTCCAGCACGAACAGCACACACATCTGCCGCAGCGACTGCGCATGATACGTCTCCGCCAGCTCGTATACATTCGCCACGTTCTCTACCGTCAGATCCTGATCATGCATCCGTGCACACACACATGCACATGGACATACATGCACGCACACACGCACCGACATGCACGCATGCACACACCCCCATACACACACCCACACAACCACATGCTTGCACAGACATGCGGAGGCAAAGAGAGAAGGGCGGTCATGTGAGATGAGAGCACTTCTCGATGGGGTGAAGCGAGAACCAGCTCGTTTGAGCAATGAGCGCACAGCTCGTTTGAGCAATGAGCGCACAGCTTTTGAGAGAGACAGTCAGCAGTGCCGCAGAGGCACTTGACCCCACCCGGGCAATTGAGCCCAGCAGTTTACCTGCGCAATGGCGTGCTCGCAGAGGCGCTTGAGCGTCTCCAGCAGGTACTGGTCCGCCGCCCTCAGCAGGTCCTGTGCCATCTCTGGCCGCACCTCCACCGCCCCCGTGTATATGCACCTGAACAGGGGGGTGTGGGGGGGGGATCACCAGAGCGGTGGGCGGAGGTGAAAGAAGGGGTGGCATGGTTCAAGGGACAGAGGCAGTGGTCGATAACACATGAGCAGCCATGGAACGACACATGGACTCATGGAGGGTGAAGCTTGTGGCATGCGGGGGCTTAGGGGAGTGGACTGTGGAGGAGGATAGGAGGGGGGGTACCTCATCATGCTCTCAAAGACAGGCAGGCTGATGTTGGGGATCTCTATGTCCTTGGCCTCCTTCTCCTCCTGCTCACACCCAGCCACACATGCAGCAATGGGGCAGCGCGCAGTCGCAGGGGAAGGGGGCCACAAGAGAAAAACGAAGCTGAAGGAAAAGAGAGGAAGCTGGTTGGAAGGATGGATTTGCATGGCGCGGCAAGGAACGGCACGGTATGGACTGGCATTGCATGGCATATCACAACACAGGGGGCAGGGTGGGGCGGGGCGGAGCACGGCATGGAATGGCATGACATGGCGCGCACTCGGTAGCCGCCGTCAAACATGGCTCGGAAGGCATCGGAGGAGGCGAGCAGGGCGATTCGATGCGCGTAGAAGCGCGTCCCTGAGGGGGGCGGGCGGGGTGGTGTGGGGTAGGGCGAGGAGAGGCACAGATGAGACGAGACGGATAAGAGCATGGGGTGGGTGGGCAGGGCAGGAGAGCGAGGGTTGAGGTAGGGAATGCGATAGTGCATACAGTGGCATGCAATGGCAGAACGAGTGACCATGCAGTGCACCGTGGCCCATGACTCTTATCCCAAACTAGTGCCCCATGCCCTATGCTCCATGCCTCTTATAACCTGCCCCATGCCCCATGCCCCATGCCCCATGCTTTATGGCCCATGCTGCACGCCCCACGCCCCATTCCCCCGGCCCCTTGCGCATGTGCAGTTAGAGCACCCCCACCTTCAACGAGGAAGGTGACGTCTGAGAGCGTGGGGCAGTTGACGTACTGCTCCCCCAGATACACCTGCGCGCTCACAAGGGGGGAGAGGTGTGCGACAGCCGAGGGGAGGAGAGGAGGGCAGAGGGGAAAAGAGAAGCGAGGAGGGGAGGAGAGGCGGGAAGAGAGACTAGGAGTTGAGGAGAGGAGAGGAGAGAGGAAGAGAAGGAGGGGCCGAGGGCCGCAAAAAGATGGGGAAGGAAATCAAGAGGGGAGGTTTGAACTTTTAAAAAGAGAGAGCAGTGGAGGACGCAGGAGAGCTGGGGAAGAGGAAGGGAAACGCAGGAAGAGTGCAGCAGGAAAGAAGCAGAGTGGGGGGGGCAGCGACCTGGGGCGTGGGGGGAGGCGGCGCGGTGTCGATGGGGTTGAGAGTGGTGGCGCGCTTGCTGAGTGTGCGCAGGGCCACAGCAGCATCGCGCTGCAGGCGGGGCGAGGGCGGCGAGGCGAGCATGGCGAGCAGAATGTCGAGCCCGCCCGCCCCCACGAAGATGGCCCGCTGCTGCCCCTCGGGACACAGGTGCGCCAGCGCTGCCGCCACGCGCCGCTGCACGCTCTTGTCTGACTGCCGCAGCAGGTACAGCAGATGCCGGAGCACCTGCGGGGTGGAGGAGGGTGGGAGTGTGGGAAATTGTGGGGAGGGTGGATGGGTGAGAGAGGCAGTGGTGGGAGGAGAGATGCGGAAGGGTGGTGAGAAGCGAGAAATGACAGAATTCCGCGCAGCCCTTAGACGCTTTTGTCCACAAGCCCACACTTACTCCCTCGCCTTCGCCCTCGCCCCAGCCCTCAACCCACCTTGCCCTCCATCTTCTCCTCCAGCCGTTTGAGTGTCTTCTGCACGCAGTCCTTGCTGGCCTGCACAATCAGCTCCGCATCCACCAGCCGCTGCACGCCCCCCTCCCTCACCACCTCCGACACGTTGTCCTGCCGCCGGCCAATGGGGGGCGGTGGGGTAGGGGTGGGGGTGGGGTGGGGGTGGAAGAGGGAATGAGTGGAGGCATTGGGGCGCAGAGAGTGCATGGCAGGAGGTCCCCCCCAGGTCAATCGCATGCAGCAGATGGTGAAGCTGTGACCCGCCGCTCGTTGCCTTGCTGGTCTGCACGATCAGCTCCGCATCCACCAGCCGCTGCACTCCCTCCTCCCGCATCACCTCCAACATGTTGTCCTGCCACGCCAATAGTGGGGTGGTGGGAAGGACAGGGCATGGAAGAGAGAATGAGTGAAAGCATTGGGTGCAAGGAGTGCATGGCAGCACGCACAGGTCCAGTGGGTACACCAACCAGAAGCTGCACGCCGCCCTCCCTCACCACCTCCGACACGTTGTCCTGCCCGCAGCCAGAGTGGGGGAAGGTGGGGGTCTGACCATAGGAGGGGTTGGAAAGAAAAGGTTTCGGAGGAGGAGGAATGGAGGAGGGGATGAGTGGAAGCATTGGGGGACTTGGCACGAAGCACAGATGAGAGGATAGAGCACATGGTCGAGCTGTGACCACCTTGCTTCTTCCCTCCTATCCCCTCCTTTTTCTCCACCCCCTCACCCCGTTCTCAGCGAGCCCATAGAGAGCGAATGCAGCGTTGTGCTGCAGGTTGCCGTTCTTCGACCCCCCCGCTTGTTGCCACTCACAACACTCCCCCCATTCGCCCACTCACTCCCCCATGCGTGCATCCTCCCCCACCCGCCACACTGCCTCACCCCGTTCTCTGCGAGCCCATAGAGCGCGAAGGCGGCGTTGTGCTGCAGGTTGCCATTCTTCGACTCCAGCAGCTCCAGCAGCGGCCGCAGCCCCCCGTCGTGCACTATGCCCGCCTGGTTGTCCGCGTTCTGCATGGGGGAAGGGGAGGAGGGGGGAGGACGGCGGGAGTTGAGTGGGGGAGAGGATGGAAGATGGCAGGCATTCAGGCGTGGAAGGTGGTGGCAGGAAACGGACTGCATGGGGGAAGTCGTGCGAGTTGAGGGAGTGGTGGGCACGCTGGGCGATGGAGGGGCGTGTCAGGCAGCCAGGAAGACTGCTGCTCTCATGGGCAACGCGTTAGGCATGCTCATTGGCCCACACGCCCACCTGCGAGCACCTGAGAGCACCTGGGCGCAACTAAGCGCGTCCCACATGCCTCTGAGCGCACATGAATGCTGACAAGCGCACCTGCGCCAGTCTGCCGAGGGCAAAGGCGGCCATCTCCCTGAGCTGCGGGTCGGGCGCCTCCAGCATTGTGATCAGCGGCCGCACTGCCCCCCTCTGCACTATGCGCACCTGGGGCGTGGGCAGGGGGGAGGGAGGGAGGGGAGGGGAGAGGGAGGGAGGGAAGGGGGGGATTTCAAGGACAATTCGCACCTGCGGCCCGGGGGGCGGAGGGGGGGAGAGGGGAGGGAAGGGGGAGACTTACACAGGTGAGACGAGAGGAGAGGGTGTGTGGTCCATTGTGTGAGGGGTGAAACACGCAGTGCAGTGGTGACCCTTGAGAAAATACTTGCAGTCGTGAGGCACATGCACAAGGACAAGGTGATTACTGCCATACTAAACCCTCGCACAGCAGGCAGCATGGCAGCAGCAGCGCACCTTGCATGGCAGCAGCAGCGCACCTTGCACTCGGGGTCCGTGGTGGCAAACTGCCCCAGCAGCAGCGCTGCCTCCCGCTGACTCTCCGTGCACCGCGAGCTGCAGTGGGTGGGGCAGGCAGGGCGGGGAGGGCAGTGGGGACAGGGGTGGCCGTGAGGGTAAGGGGGGCAGTGAGCGCAGGGGAGACAAGATTGACATTGGGCAGGCAGTGTGAAAGTGAGAGACAATGAGCCACGGGGAACCAGGGGATGAGGCACAAAGGGGTGGAGCAGCAAAGGGTAGGGTACCTGAGCAGGCCGATGACTGGTTGCAGCGCGCCCTCGTCCAGCACGAGCTTCTTGATGTTCATCGAGGAATGCACCAGATTGCCTATCACCCCCACCTGCCACGGGGGAGAAGGAATGGGCAGTCGAACACAGAGGTCAGTGGGCATGGTGGATGGGAAAAGTAAGGCGTTTGAGTCAACTCAAAACACGCCCTCGTCCAGCACACGAGCTTCTTGATGTTCATGGACGAGTGCACCAGGTTGTCGATCACCCCCACCTGCCACGGGGGGCGATGGTGGAACACAGGTTTCAGTGGAGTAGATGGAAAAGGTAAGGCGCTTGGCATTGCAAAAACAACCATCTTCCCGACAAGAGGCACCTTCAATTCAACATGCCCTCGCCTGCAGTGAACGCGGTCAATCACCACCTGACAGCACCCCCCACTGCGCCCATGCACTACTCGCAGTGGATGCCCGCCCGTGAGCACATACCCATGCACACACCCACATGCACCTGCACACAGCCCCTGCACGCACGCCCCCGTCCACGCCCCCGAAGAGCATGCATTCAAGCACTCAAACACACCACCACTGCACGCACGCACCGCTTCGTAGTGGATGCCCGTGTCCTCCGATCGCAGCATGAAGATGAGCGTTGGCAGCGCTCCGCACTCCACTATCTGCCGCCCACCATGTACGCAGGGAGGAGGGGAGTAGGGATGGAGATGTCGATTTGGCACGGAGATTCAAGGGATGAACCATGGAAATGTTAAGCGCACGTTCTCACGGGTGTGCTTTCGCATGTGCAGGTGGGCATGCATGTGTGCCGGCCAGTGTGAATGTGGTATATGTGCATGCATCAGCACTGCTGTTTCAGCAGCCCACCAAGTTGGCGTTCGCAACCCTTTTGGCACGCACCAGGTTCTTATTGGCCTCGTTCTTGAAGGCGAGTGTCCTGAGAGCGCCTGCACCAGCGCGCTGCACCTTGGGGTCCAGCGACTCCAGCAGCTCCACCAGCGGTGGTATTCCGCCCTCCGCCCTGCATCATCCATGCCTCCATGCACACACGCACATGCACGACCAGGGGGGAAGGAGGGCACAGAGTGAGGGAGAGTGCAGAGAGGAAGGCGAGTGTCCTGAGAGCGCCTGCCCCCGCACGCTGCACCTTGGGGTCCAGCGATTCCAGCAGCTCCACCAGCGGTGGTATTCCGCCCTCCGCCCTGCATCATCCATGCACGTGCACGCCACCACGTGGGAAAGAGGGCAGGGAGTGAGGTGCGGTGCAGAGAGGAAGGGGATCGTCCGTTGACATGTGCCCCCGAAGCATGGTGAGCGGAAAACGGAGGGCAGGCAGGAGGAGGGCGGCTGGGGAACGGGCAGGGCTGGAGAATGGGCTGTTGAGAGCGGGAGTGGGAGTGCAAGGCAAGGGAGGGTGTGACGCGAAGGGCGCACCTGACTCGGCTCTTGATGGTTCCATTCTCGTGCGCCAGATTCGTGATGGCGTCTGCTGCTCGCCGCACCACGCCATTCACCACACGCGCCACTGCAGGGCTCGCCCCAGCCCCCCCCTCCGCCCCCACTCCGCCTGCCCCCGCGCCTGCTCCCCCTGCCCCGCCTACATGCGCGCCCCCTGCTGCTGCGCCGTCTGTGGTGCCTGCGGGGGCGAGCCCGAGGGCGGTTGGCGCTGAAGCGGGCGCGGCTGCTGCTGATGCCGCGGACGGTTGGCCTGGCCGCCGCTTTAGCAGCGCCACCAGCGCGGTGAGGGCGCCCGAATCCGCTATTAGCCGCTGGTGGTCGGGCTGCGCGGGGGGAGTAGGGGTTGAGCGGAGGGGGGAACCACCCTAGTGGATGAGAGGAGCTGGCGAGCGTGGTAGGTTGGCGGGTGGGAGGGCAGAAAGAATCAAGCAAACAAGTCATGTCAGAGAGAAATCTTCGCTAGGGGTGGTGGGACGGCTGGGAGGAGGAGGAGGAGAAGAAAAGGCAACCCGGCAGCAGGCCGAGTGCTGACCTTGATGGCGAGCAGGCCGAGCGCGAAAGCGGCGTCCTTCTCGACCTCGTGCTCGCACGCGATTGGCCCGTCGCCCTCCTCCACCGCCGGCGCTGATAGGTGCGGCACGAGCGCGTGGATGGCACCCTCCTCCACTATGGCGTCCACGTGCTCCTCTGCACGCGCCACGTGCCGCGCACACGCACACGCACACGCACAACCGAGCACCGCACGGGACGGATGGATGGAGATTTGAGAGATTTGCAACGATACGAGCTGAGTGGATGCGAACGACGAATTACGGCGACGCCTGCTTAACCTAGTCGACCTGTTTCCGCTCCAGCATCTGTTTTATTCGGAATTCGCTACGCCACTTAGCAGACGCGAGAAAATACAGGCGCACCGTGATTGCGGCTCACCGTGCTTCGCGAGCTCCGCTATCGCATGAGCCGCTTTCCTCGCCGCCACTCGATCCGCCTCCCGCCACGTCAGCGACCCCTTGAGCACCGCGATGTGCGCCTGCACCTCTGCCGTCGCCAACGCGCCGCTGTCTTCCGAGCCTGAGGGGCACGCGGAGTCCGCCAGTTTCCGCTTGAGGTTCTTCCGCTCGCCGGAGTGCGACGAGCCCTGCTTCGGATCCATGCACCGACCCCCCCTTCCCGCAATAGCTCGCTCGCTCGCGCAGCCCCTCCCCCCCTTTCGCGCGAAGCCCTCAGCAGAACGAACTACGGAAAGGAATGCTGGCCCTTTCTTGTCTGTGACTTTAATTACCACTATGTACTATTGGCCCGCAGAATATCCACTCAGGTCGGTCTAGGTTAGGGAAACAGAAGCTACGGATAGATGCCATGCCACTACAGGAGCTGTTCCCGAGGCCGACAGTTGTCAGAAACAGTGATCTGGGGGACGGCCTTGGGTGGGATGCGACACTCCTTGAAAAGGCCGCTCGCGAAAGGCCAGTCCAGTGGGCGAAGCAATTAGGCGAAGCAATTAGAACAGATTCTAGAACATTATTTCACTAATTCAGCACAGACCTAAACAGAATATTACAATGACACGCGCATTAACAACTTATTTCATTCTCTATGCCTTCCTGGACGACTACACTAACCAGGGACCACACTTGAGGGACTGATAAGACGTCAGTAGGAAGCTGGGGCGGGGCTTCCTATGTTGGATTGGTTACATGTGCATTAAATGATGGGCAGCAAGCAGTATTCGAGATAGAACAGGTTCCAGATGAACTGATAGAAGCGTGCAATGGCATCCTGGTAGCACGTGACATTGGGTAGGGAGAGAGGCAGAGGGAGGGGTTGCAATTGAAGATTACGAAACGCAGTGCGTGAAGAATAACAAGTTTTGAAACTGGAAGCAGTGCAAGGTAGCAGAGTAAACAACTACAGTATGGTGTTTGAAGAATAACAAGTGCTGAAAGTGGAAGCAGTGCAAGGTATCGACTAGATGAGTGTGTGTGGCACTCACCTTGGTGTAGGCTGCTGCATCCAACTTCCACGTCTGCAGCAGTGGGCACAAGAGGCAGAACAGCACAGCACAGCAGAGCGCAGACCCAAACAGCACGACGCATTAAGGACAGTGGAAAAGTAGTGTGTGAGGTGACATCAGCAACGAGCGCACGGGGCAATGGAGCACATGCAGCAGATAGGGTCACACATGGACAGCAGAGAGCAGAGCACATGGCATATGGCGCATGGTGCATGGTGCATGGCATATGGCAAACATGGCACAGGCCACCTCACCTGGTAGACGAGAGCAGCAGCGAGGAGCAGATGGGCGGGAATCATGACAGCCTGGCGAAACGCCTGGTGGGGGCACAGGGAGGGAGGGAGGGTGGGAGGGTGGGGGGCAGAGGAGCATGATAGAGTCCCCGCAGGAGACAAGTGATCAGCAATGGGATGCCTCTCTCTTGCCAAGAGACCAAGAGACCAAACCACACCAACGCATGGCCAGTCCTGGTATCAGAGCCCCCAGGCACGCCCAGCCATGCCCAGCCACACCCAGTCACACCCAGCCACACCCAGCCACACCCAGCAACACCCAGCAACACCCAGCAACACCCAGGCATGGCAGTGACCAGTGGTGCTCACATGTGGCAGCAGCAGGGCGGCAGCGACGGCGCCACAGTAGTTGGCGATGAGCAGCCCCGAGCCCAGGAAGGCGATGTTGCGCACTCCCAGGCGCGTGGCGAAGGTCTCTATCTTGAACCTGCCATGCGTGGTATGGAGGGCGCAGGTGTAAGATATACATACAGCCATGAGACATGCACACTGATGACGAGGGCTTTTGAGCGCACCGGGCAACTACAAACGCATGGATGAGCATACGAAAGAAGAGACAAGAGAAGAAGAATTGAGCGCGGAATAACGAGGTGCACTCACTGCCTGTCGCCCTCGATGTCAGGCAGGTCCTTGGTGATGGCGATGACAGTGGCGAACAGCGTCACGAAGCACGTTATGAACACTATCGACGGACTGTGGGGTGGGTAGGCAGGCAGACGCAGGCACACACAGGCAGGCAGAGTAGCACACAGACGCAGGGCGGTGGAGGGGGAAAGGGAGATGAGAGCATATGAGAAAAGAATGGCCTTTGGTGATGGCAATGACGGTGGCGAATAGCGTCACGAAGCACGTTATGAACACTATTGACGGACTGTGGGCGGCGGGTGGGCAGGCAGGCAGGCAGGCAGGGCGGTGGGAGGGGACGGAGAGGTGAGTGAGAGGCGACGAGGAACACGATGGATGGGCAGTGGGCGGCACATGCACACAGTGCACACACGGAGCATGGCGTGTGGGAGTCAGGGCGGTGGGAAGGGAAGGCAAGGGCAGGGCAGGGCAGGGTTGAATTCAATGGCTGTGCTGTGTGCCACTCCGCATCACAGCGAGCTCAAAGCAGCCCCACCCCACCCCATTTCCCCTCCAACGGCCAACCCCACCACCATTCACCCCTCCCCTCTCCCCCCTACCCTCCCCCTCCCCTTCCCCCCCCCCCCCCACCCATGCTGCTGACGCACCTCCAGGCGAAGGGCAGGCCGAGTGCAGCGCGCGTGGCATAGTACACGCCGAAGTTGAGCAGGAACCCGCGCACCTGGGGGGAAGGGCGTGAGGGAAGAAACGGAGGGGGAGGGTTGGGGGGAGGTGGGGAGAAAGGGGGAGGGAGAGGCGAGGCGAAGGGCAGCCTCAGTGCAGCGCGTGTGGCATAGTACACGCCGAAGTTGAGCAGGAATCCGCCGAGGGGGAGAGGTAGGGGATAGGTGAGGAAGAGGTCGGGGGAAGGTGAGGTAGAGGTGGGGGGAGGTTGAGATGGAGGTCTAAGTTGGAACTTACGTTTTCGGTTCCTTACGTTTTCGGACGATTACGACAATTTTTACGTTTACGAACAGTCGCCCAGATTCGGCCTTACGTTTACGGTCACCTAAAAACTTTTCTGAGCTGCCCGAGGGAAAAAAACGACCAGAGCATCAAGAAGATTCCCTCCAACCTAGTTCCGTAATTTGATATCTTGTCGACGTCAACCTAGCAGCTCGTTCGCAACCTATCGTGTTTCTCTCTTACTAACCTGGTCAACGCTGAATTTGAAACTTTCACGGCCTTGAAAGGCGCTCCATACGTAGTAAAGTCGCTATTCTAGAAAGGCACATGACAAATTAGTGGTACGATCTGGTACCCGTACACAATCCAATAAAAAGTATCACATTAGTTTTTTTTTCCTGCTCGCCTCATACTTACGCGTAATTTTACGCTTTCGTTTACGTTTACGCTAAATTTCGCGAAATTTACGTTTACGAGACCTCAAAAAACGTAAGAGACCAACTTAGATGGAGGTCAGGGGGGAAGGGGACGGGGTAGTTGGGGGGATGGTTGGTGGACGGGAAATGGATTGGGTGGGCAGGGGAGGGGGAGGGCAAGGGGAAGGCTCACACTGGGCTGGGTGTGGGTGTGGTGGTGAGTGATTGTGTGGTGGGTATGGAAGAGAGCATACGGCCTCACAGTGGCGATGATGAGGAAGGCGGGCAGGGGGAACAGCTTGAGGCGCAGGAAAGGGAAAGACTCCAGGGGGGTGGTGGGCACAAGAAGGAGCACTGGAGCTCATAGTGATTGGGTGGGTGGAGGGCTCACCGTTGCGATGATGAGGAAGGCTGGGAGGGGATACTGCTTGAGGCGCAGCGGAGGCACCGAGTACACGGTCCCCAGCAGCAGCCCCAGCGCGTACAGCCCCGTTATGAGGCGGCCAAAGTTGAGCGCCACGATCGCCAGGCCGCCAGCTGAGAGCAGCAGACAGAGCAGCGCGGCGAGGGTTGGGGAGAGCTCGCCTGCTGCCACTGGCAGGAACGGCTTGTTCACCCTGGGGTGGGGAGAGGGGGGGAGATTGGGAAAGGAAGGAAGAAGGGGGAACGTGGAAGGGGGAAGGGGGAAGGGGAAGGGAAAAGAGTAAGCGGAATGGAGGGAGTAGACAGTTCCGAGCAGCAGGCCAGCCCCATTATTAGCCAGCCAAAGTTGAGCGCTGGTATCGTCAGGCCGCCTGCAGAGAGCAGCAGGGCAGGCAGAGGAGCGCGGCGAGCGTGGGGGAGAGCTCGCCTGCTGCCACTGGCAGGAACGGCTTGTTCACCCTGAAAAGGGTGGAGGGGAAGGGGGAAGAGGGGAAGGGGGGAAGGGGAAGGAGGAAGGGGGGAGGGGGAATGGGAGGAGGAAGAGTAAGGGAAAAGGAGGGAGTAGACGGTGCCGAGCAGCAGCCCCAGCGCGTACAGCCCCGTGATGAGCCGCCCGACGTTGAGCGCCACGATCGCCAGCCCGCCAGCTGAGAGCAGCAGACACAGGAGAGCCGCGAGGGTTGGGGAGAGCTCGCCCGCTGCCACTGGCAGGAACGGCTTGTTCACCCTGGGGGGGGGGAGGGGGGAGGGGGGGGAAAAGGGGAAGGGGATGGGGAAGGGGAAGGGGAAGGGGAAGGGGAGAGAAAAGGGTGTGGGGCGCAGTGGGAGATAGCTAGTTTGCTTGGTTGAGAGAGCGAAGGTTAGGGGTGGGTGGGTGGGAGAAACGAGGAGATGAGTTGAGCGGAATGTAGGACCTTGGAGGGAGGGGGCACAGAGGGACCTGGCATGGAGGGAGGGGGCACAGAGGGAGGGGGCATGGAGGTTGCCTCTCACTCTCTCATGCCTGCAAAGCAACCCTCCTCCTGTCCCTCGCCCCTCGTCACCCCCCTGTGCTTACCTGTCACTGCCAGCACGCACCTGTCAATGTCAGTGTCATAGATCTGGTTGATGCCCACGATGTACCCATTACCACACAGCAGCGCCAGCAGCCCTCTCAGCGCGCGCGGCATCAGCCCCCAGTCGATCGCCTGCGGACTCTCCAGCAGCGCGCGCGCCACCACCGCGCTGGGGGGGTGGGAGGGGGTGGGGGAGGAGGAGGGAGGGGGGAAAGAGAGGGGGGGTGGGGTGGTGGGGGGTTGTTGTTCGTAAGGAGGCGAGGAGAAGAGGTGAGTGGGGTGTGGGTGTGGGGAGAGGGGGAAAACGGGTGCTGGGAGGTGGGTATGGCATGGCAGGGTGTGCGAGCGGGGCGGCGCCATACATGCGCGCATGCTACAAGGGGGGCCGCGCACGCGCAGTGGGCCAGCAGCGACCATGCGCCTGCGCCTGCGCCTCGTGCGCGCATTCCCTCCGCCGCTCGCCTGACCTTCTGCCTTCTCGCAATGCCACGTGCCCGTACCCCGCCCCCTCACTCACCCACCGCTCTGCACCCAACTCTCATTCATTCCCAGCCCTCTCCAGCCAGCTCCGCGCGTGCTATCCGCTCTGCCGCCTCCCTATCTCCTCCTCCCTGCCCAAGCCCTCCCCACCCTATCCCCCCATCACCCCCTCCAACCCTCCCCCCCCCCCCGTTCTCACCAGCCAACCCTTCCCCCTTCCTTTCCCGCCCGCGCGCTCACGAGGTGCCGAGCACGGTGCCGCGGATGGTGTGCGGGCGGAGGAATTTCCAGAACGCGCGCTGAAACGCCACCACCCGCTCCGCCAGCCCCGCCCCCGCCGGGCTGCCCCCCGCCGCCCCCTCACCGCCTCCTGGCGCTGCCGCCCCCGCGCCCGCCGCCGCGGCCTGTGCGGGATGGGGAGGAGAGGTGGAATGGGGAGGAAAAGAAGGATTGGGAGGAGAGGGAGGATGGGGAGAAGAGTGGGAACAGGGAGAAGAGGGGGGATGGGGAGGGGAGGGGGATGGAGAGGACAGCGCGCGGCGCGGCGCGACGCAATGGTGGCAATTGCGCAAGGGACGCGGCGAGGGGGGCCAGCGAGGGGGGCCAGGAGCGGAGCTACAATCGGGCGCAAAGGGGGGCGGGATGGGGGAGGTGCGGAAAGAGAGAAGGGGATACGGACCCTGGCGGCTAGGCGATGCGGCCTGCGACTTTGCGGCAATTGACCCAGAGAAGTTCGTCGCTTTAGCTCTTCGCCATTCGCAAACGAGCTTCGCAACGCTGACGATGGGCATTGCGACGCGCCGGTTGATCGCCAAGATGGCCGAGACGCGGACGCGCAGGCGGGGGAGCGGGGCGAGAGGCGGGGAGAGGCGAGTGTGCGCGATGGGCGGAGGGCGGCGGAAAGACTCATGGCGGGGGCGGGAAGCGAGTGGCGCGCGCAGAAAAAGGGAGGTGAATGGGGCGCTAGGCGGAGAGAAGAACGAGGAGGTGCGATCGCATGCCTCGGGAATGTCGCGATGTCAAGGCGAAGTGAAGAAGCGACAGGCGACTGCAAAACGAAAAGCGGATACTGATGGTGTGGTGAGCAATAAATAGATACAAGCACAGACACGGGTGGTGGTGGGGTGGGGGAAGGCAGGAGGGATTGGAAGTGGAGGGGAGTTAGGGCCACGTGGCATTCGATGCTCGCGTGGCAGCTTCACAACCAGCAGGAATCAGTAGAAAAGTCCTCTAGGGAGAGACGCGCTAACAACGTACGTGGAGGTACAGCGATCTTACAAAAACAATTTCGTCATTCAGATGTAATTGCATGTCCATGTTCCGTTCCGACGACAAACCGTTCCCGCACTTCGCGGATATCGCGTCTGGACTGTACTCTGTCTCGCGAAGGGCAGCGCAGGTGCTGCGATGTTCGCTCAGCGCGTGGAACGAAATTGACGTGGATTTGGGGTGACTCCTCCGAAGGGGCTGGAAGGCAGGGTGAGCAGGGGTACAGGAATCTGAAAAAGTGGTTGAGCTCGGTAAAACACTCTTGCACGTGCGAGAACCAACATACGAAGATGGGGCGTGGCGACGATGACGCGAAGAAAACGGTCGTCGCGCAAGTCTAGGCGAAGACCTGGTCGTTACGGGAGTGAAGTGGTCCTTTCTTTTGGGGTGGAGTGAAGGTGGAGAGTGTATGGCGGGAGTGACACCTGACATCCATCCGGAACAGCAATAATCGCACATGGCGGGAGAGACAGCACAGCACAGAACAGTCTCAAAATAGAGATATTTATTGATGCGGCACTTGGCGTTGTCTGGTTGACGCTAGGGACAAGCACTCTGAACGTTTCGGCGACGAGTGTCCCCCTTATCTGGGTTGCTTGCGCGTGTCCCATTCACCTGCCGCGCTCCCTTCCGTCATCACGCGCCGAACCAGCTCTTCTGCCCTTCCGCACGCGCGCATAGCATCTCCGCCTTTCCTCCGGTCGCTGCCCCCTTTAGCCTCTCCGCGCGTGTCGCGCAGCGCCAATGGCGGAGAGGGCGAAATCTTCCCCCGGCTCTGGCTGGGGCGGAGTCTCCCTACAGCTGCCCACCTTCTCCTCCTTCCCCGCAACTTCCGCCACACCCACCCCGCAGCCCTCCGCGCAGACCCCCTCGACCGCGCTGGCGGGAATGGCTTCCGCCTTCCAGTCGTTCGGCTCCGCCTTCCAGTCCTTCGCGGGCACCGTCGCCTCCGCCATGCCCCCCGTGTCCCCCCAGGGGAAGGCGCAGCCCGGCGGGCGGGGCGCGGGGGGGCACGCGGACGGCGAGCGCGTGCAGGAGTTCCTGCAGGAGCTGTCCGCCAAGTCGCAGCGAGGGGTTGGGGGCGGTGAGGAGGTGTACGATCCGGCGATGCTGACGGACGACAAGAAGCAGTGGAAGGAGCTGCAATCCGTGAACAGTGTACGGCTGTCGCTCCCCTTCCCCATACCAGTGCAGTGAGAACTGTGTAGGGCGCGCAGTGCAGCGAGACGGCGTGCTGCCTTAGCATTCAACCAGTGCTGCTGCTCGCTCTGTCAAATTCTCTAACACGCCCGCTCTCTCACTCGCTTGCTCACCAGCGCAGCAGCAGGGCGCACTACAAGCGCCCTCCACTCCAGCTCACTCGCCCCTGCCTCACTCCCCATGCCTCCTCACCACGCCTCTCCTCTCCTCTCCTGCTCTCCCCACCTCCGCCGCTGCTCTCTCCCCCTCTTTAGCCTCTCTTCCACTCGCTCTCTCATTCTCTCCCTGTGTCCTCACCCTGTCTCCTGTCTCCCTGTCTGCGCCCCCCTCTTCTGTGCAGCACAACCGACTGCTGGAAGCCGACACATTTTGTGGTGGTGGGTGGGGCTGCACCCCAAGGCGGATCTCAGCGCCGTGGAGGCGGCTCAGTAACTCCTCCCCCCACCCCTCCTCATCCCTGCCCCACAGCGCAACCGACTGCTGGGAGCCGACACATGTATCGACCATTTTGTGCTGGTGGGGCTGCACTGCACCCCAACGCGGATCTCAATAGCCCCTCATCCCACCCTCTTTTTGTTCCTCCCCAACAGCGCAATCGGTTGCTAGAAGCCGACACATTCATCGATCACTTGGTGCTGGTGGGGCTGCACTGCACCCCGAGGGGCTGCTGTTGAGGTGCCTTCCCCCTCCTTCCCCTTCCTTCCCCCTCCTTCCCCCTCCTTCCCCCTCCTTCCCCCTCCTTCCCCCTCCTTCCCCCTCCTTCCCCCTCCTTCCCCCTCCTTCCCCCTCCTTCCCCCTCCTTCCCCCTCCTTCCCCCTCCTTCCCCCTCCTTCCCCCTCCTTCCCCCTCCTTCCCCCTCCTTCCCCCTCCTTCCCCCTCCTTCCCCCTCCTTCCCCCTCCTTCCCCCTCCTTCCCCCTCCTTCCCCCTCCTTCCCCCTCCTTCCCCCTTCTTCCCCCTCCTTCCCCCTCCTTCCCCCTCCTTCCCCCTCCTTCCCCCTGCTTCCCCACGTCCCCCACAGCGCAATCGTCTATTGGAAGCAGACACGTTCATAGACCACTTTGTGGTGGTGGGGCTGCACCCCGAGGCGGACCTCAGCAGCGTGGAGGCGGCCTTCGCCACACACAAGCGCGGGCAGCTCAACGGCACTGTCAGTGACTCCGTGCCGCCGCCCGCTGTGAACCTAGATGCCCAGGTATGCTGTGCTGCTGGGGCACGGTGTGTGCTGGCGTGGGTGTCTGCTGGGTCGGAGACAGGAACCATTCTCACTACCCCTCACACTTCCACCGCATGCTGCTGCTACCCTGTCTCATCCCCTGCCCCACCTCCCCTCTCCCCTCCCTCCTCCCCCCAGCTGCTGTACAAGTACCCACCACACAACCAGAGACACACGTGAGTCGACGCAGAAGGCCGCTCTGCCTCCTGCCCTCTCCCGTTCCTTTCCCCCCCTCCCCCCCTGCCCCAGCTGCTGTACAAGTACCCGCCGCGCAAGAAGCTTGCTCTCTCGCCTTCCGACCTGCCAGGCTTCTGCTTCCCAAACGGTGTTGAGGTGAGGTGCAGTGAGGTGCGGTCAGGTGAGGTGAGGTGGGATGAAGTTTCATCATCCGTCCGTGTGTAAGTTTAGCTGCGTTTTCCCCGTTCAGCCACCCATCTGTAGGCCCCCACACACACACTCTTGGGCTGCTGTCTTACTCTCCTCGCCCGATTTTTCTCCCTGCTCCCTGATCCATGCTGCGTGCTGCCTGTTGTTGGCGGTGAGCAGGCGAGGTGCATGGAGAAGACACCGTCAATGAAGGGCTTCCACCAGTCCATCTACGGCCAGGTGCGCCCCTCTGCTTCCACCAGTCCATCTATGGCCAGGTGCGCCCTGCATTCCCTCTCTCCTACTCTCACTCGCTCCCCCCATATACCCTCCTCCTCTATACGCACACCCGCCTGAGCATCTCCACCTCTTTTCCCACTCTTGCACCCTCACTCACGCACTCGCTCACGCACTCATTCACCCGCTCACTCACTCACCCCTCGTGCTCGCACTACCATCGCTCGTGGCGTTCACCCCTCCCTCATGCTGCTCGACACCCCTTCCCTCACCCCACAGGCACACCCGAGCGCGGACGGCTACGCGTATGTGTTCCTGCTGGCACTGCTCGCCGCCACTCACTCACTCACTCACTCACAGTGTCACTCATTCGCTCACCCCGTAACCCTGTCTCACACACAGCCCCACAGGCCTACCATACAGTGGACGACAACGCCACGCTGTACAGTGTGTGCATGGTGGTGCACTAGCTGCTGCAGCGCCCGCCCTCCCTCCCTCACTCACTCCCTCCCTCCCTCATTCCCTCACTCCCTCCCTCCCTCCCTCCCTCACTCACTCACTCACTCACTTTCTCACTCACTCACTCAAACCCTCACTGCTCTCCGTCACCCCACAGGCCTACCAAACAGCAGACGACAATGCATACGTGTTCCTCCTAGCAGTGGACGACAACGCCACGCTGTACAGCGTGTGCATGGTGGTGCACTAGCTGCTGCAGCGCCCGCCCTCCGTGCTCTCCCTCCCTCCCTCCCTCCCTCCCTCCCTCACTCACCCACTCACTCACTCAGTCTCTCACTCCCTCCCTCCCTCCCTCCTTCCCTCACTCATTCACTCATTCACTGTCTCTCGCTCACCCTCGCACTCCCCCATCCCGTGCCCCACAGGCGTACCAGACGGCGGACGACAATGCATACGTGTTCCTCCTGGCAGTGGACGACAACGCCACGCTGTACGGCGTGTGCATGGTGGTGCACGAGGTCGTGCAACGCCCGCCCTCCGTGCTCGCAATGAACAACGCCCTCCACGGCCCCAAGCCCGCCGGCCTGCCCTCCAAGTACCTTGTGACCGCCCCGCGCTGCTACTGCTTCCTGACCCGTCTTCCGTTCTTCGACCTGCACTTTGAGGTGCTCAACACGTGAGTGGCTGGATGGGTGGAAAGGAAATGCAGGGTGGATGGGTGAGGGTGCAACGACACACGCACGTTCAGTTCCGGTTACTAAGGGCCCTCCAGTCTGCTTCCTCCCGCGCCTGCCGTTCTTCGACCTGCCCTTTGAGGTGCTCAACACGTGAGTGGGTGAGAAAACGGGATGGTTGGGAATGCTGGATGGATGGAAAAAGCAGGGTGAACACGTGCGAAAAGGAAACAGGGCGGATGAATAAGCAGGGTAATGACGTTGACCTCCCTCTCCCTCCTCCCCCCCAGCATCCTGGTGCAGGAGCGACTAGACCACATGAAGCAGCACATGAGGCGCATCAATGCTGCACATGCCATCCTACCTCCCACCTCCCCCCTCCCCCCCTCCCCCCCTCCTCCCTCCTCCCCCCCAGCATCCTGGTGCAGGAGCGACTAGACCACATGAAGCAGCACATGCGGAGCATCAACGCCAGCAGCACATGCCATCTCTCTTCCCACCCGTGCACCACCTCTCGACACCCGTCCACCCCTCCCTGCCACCTTTCTCTCCCCACATCACCCCCCCACCCCTTCCCCAGCATCCTGGTGCAGGAGCGCCTGGACCACATGAAGCAGCACATGCGGCGCATCAACGCAGGGGGCATCCAAGCCATGCGACGGGGGGGCTTTCACAGCGACGACGACGACGATGACGACGATGACGATGACGATGGCATGGGCATGGGCGCGGGTGGGAAGTCATTTCGAGGCAAGAAGAAGAAGGAGAAGGATCCGATGTCGTTCGCTGTGCCGGTTTCCACGCTCGCCCCGGCCCACTCCTTCTCTCGCTCGCCGTCGTCGCGGCGGCTGCAGGGCGTGATGAAGCTGAAGGGGGAGGCGGAGCAGCAGGTGGGACGGCGGAGCTTTAAGAGCTTAAGGGGCCTGTCGAATGTGAAGGGGCTGCAGGGGTTTATTGCCCAGCTGCAGGCGGAGCAGCTTGGGGAGGAGGGGAAGGGGGGTGGGGAGGGGGAGGGGATGGCGGAAGGGAGGATTGAGGAGGGCGAGGAGGGAGAAGAGGGGGAGGAGGGGGAGGAGGGGGAGCAGAGCGGTTTTGCGGAGGGGGAGGAGGAGGGGGAGGGTGAGGGGGAGTGGGAAGGCGAGGAAGAGGGGGATGAGGACGAGGAGATGGAAGCGGGTGCGGCTGAGGGGAGTGAGGAGGAGGCGGGGGAGGGCGAGCATGAGGAGCAAGAGGAGGAGGAAGCGGGAGAGGGAGAAGAAGAGGAGGAAGACGATGAGGATGAGGAGTTTTCTATGAGGCAGGCAGCGCGGCGGGGCCGGCTGATGGTACCTAAGGAGCTGCTGCAAGCACACGAGGAGGAGGCGGGGCGGGCGGGCGCCGGCGGTATGTGGCATTCGGACAGCGTGGGGTATGGCATGGGGGACGATGAGGTGGATGGGGAACTGAAAGAGCATGTGAGGGAGTTGCTGGGGGAGCTTGTGGGCGGCGCCGGGGAGGACGAGGAGGAGGAGGGGGAGGGGGAGGAGGGGGAGGAGGGAGGGGAGGGAGGGGAGGGGAACGTGCACATGGAGGGCGGGTTTACGTTCATCGCTGGTGTGCTGAAGCGGAGTTACCGTGATCTGGGGCGGGAGTGGAGGGAGGAGGGCGACGAGGAGAGGCAGGGCGCGGGAGGCAAGGGTGGTAAGAGCCCAAAAAGCCCCAGGAGTTCCAAGGGGCCGAGTAGCTTTAAGGGTGGCAAGAGTCCCAGGGAGGGGGGTGGGTTTGAGGATGGCGCGGGTGGTAAGGAGGGCGGTGGAGGGGACGAGGGGAGCGGGCGGGCGCCGTCTCGACGGGTCAAGGCAGTGTCGTTTGGGGGAGTGGGTCAGGCGGAGGAGGGTGAGAATGATGGGGCGACGGGGGAAGGAGGAGGGGGGAAGGGAGGTGCAGGGGAGGGAGGGGAGGAGGAGAGTGGGGCAGTGGGTGTGGGGAGGGGTGGGAGGAGGAAGAAGCTGGAGCGAGTGATGACTGTGGAGGCCGGGGAGGCGAGGAGGAGGGCGGAGAGGGAGGAGGACAGTGAGGTGGAGAAGAAGGCTCACAGAGAGAGGCAGCGCCTGGTGCGGCTGATGACGGTGGAGAGTGGTGGAGAGGGATGGGTGGGCGGAGAGAGAGAGGAGGACGAGGAGGAGGAGTGGGGGGAGGAGGCGGAGGACGAGGTGGAGGAGGAGGAAGAGGAAGAGGAGGAGGAAAACGAGGAGGAAGAGGAGGAGAGGAGGACAGTGGGGCGGCAGGGAAAGAAGCTGGTACGTCTGATGACAGAGGAGGCCGGGCGAGCAGGGGGGACGGCGCGGGGTGGCGGGAAGAAGCTGGTGAGGCTGATGACTGAAGAGGCAGGGCGAGCGAAGGGAAGGGGGGGAGGGGAAGTGGAGCAAGGAGAAGAGGAGGGAGAGGAGGGCGAGGAGCAAGTAAGGAGCGAGGTGGGCAGGAGTGGGAGGAAGAAGCTGGTCCGTTTGATGACGGAAGAACCAGGACGAGCAATGGGGAGAGGGGGAGGTGGGGAAGAGGAAGGTGGTGAGGAGGGAGAGGAGGGAGAGGAGGGAGAGGAGGGAGAGGAGGGCGCGGAGCAGGTAAGGAACAAAAGCACTGGCAGTGGGAGGAAGAAGCTGGTGCGTCTGATGACAGAGGAGGCTGGGCGAGCAGGGGGGATGGGGCGAGGTAGCGGAAAGAAGCTGGTACGGCTGATGACTGAAGAGGCGGGGCGGGCAGCAGAGAGAGGGGAAGGTGGGGGGTGGGAGGAAGAAGAGGAAGAGGAGGTGGAGGATGAGGAGGGAGAGGAGCAGGTAAGGAGCGAGGTGGGCAGGAGTGGGAGGAAGAAACTGGTGCGTTTGATGACAGAGGAGGCAGGACAAGCAAGTAGGAAGGGAGCAGGTGGGGGGAAGAAGCTGGTTCGACTGATGACTGAAGAAGTGGGGCAGGCAGGGGGGAAGGGGTCGGGTGGGGGTAAGAAGCTAGTTCGACTGATGACTGAAGAGAATGGGGCTTTGGGCGGGATAGGGGAGGACGAGGAGTGGGATGATGAAGAAATGGTTACGCTGTGGGAAGGGGAGGATGAGAGCGAGGAGGAGGAGGAGGGGAGTTGGGAGGAGGAGGAGAGTGGGGAGGAGGAGCGCGAAGGCGGGCGCATGGGGGGGGCTGGGGGGTCGTCTCTGAAGCTGCGACGCTCCATGACTGTAGACGACGATGATAACCCGTTAGGCCCGTGCCCTTATAACGAGTACGACATGCGTGCGGGCACCGGGGGTAGCAAGGCGGCGAAGGGCGGTGGGGATGGGGCAGGAGGTGGTGGGGGCCGTGGGGCCATGGAGCGCAAGGCGTCGCTGAAGCTGGCTCGCAGCATCAGTGAGGACTCCGGGTGAGCGGGGGCACAGCACAGGGGTGTTGGGGTGTTGGGGTGTTGTGTGGTTTGGTGTGTTGCGTTGTTGAAACTGGCTCGCAGCCTCATCTGGGTGAGCGGGCAGGGCGCATATGTGCTGGGGTAGATTTTCTAAGCGCCTCAAAATCCTGATTTATTTTTAGGTGCCTCTAAAGCCGTTGCTGAAGCTGGCTCGCAGCCTCACTGAGGAGTCCAGGTGAACAGGGCTCGCTGCCATGTGCTGCGGTGGAGTAGGGTGGAGTGAACTGTTGTGGCCGCGGTGCTGTGCTGTGGTGTGGTGTGGTGTGCTGTGGTTGTGAATCGTGATGTGACGGCATGTGGTGCATGCATGGGTGCATGCCCAAGCACTCTCCAATTCCACTGAGCCCTCTGAGCCCTCCATTACCCCCACGACACCCTTGCGCCTCCAACCCAAGCTACGCTACGCTACGCTATGCAATGCATTTGCCGACAAGAGACTCATCTATAGTAGAGCAGGTAATTCAATGCCTGCTGAGCAGGTAATTCAAGCTACCTGTTGCATTGAAAATTCTGCTGAAGAACAGGTATTGGCTTATCATGGTCCAGTAGGCATGAGCACTTCACTCACGCCTCTCAGCTGAGAAGGTCACCCACCCATTCCACCCCTTCCCACCGCACTCCACCCATGTTTTCACGCTGCAGGTCTGAGGAGGAACTGCCAGGGTACGAGGGGGAGGGGGACGAGGAGGAGGGGGGCGGGGGGGAGAGTGAGGAGGAGGATTCGGAGGAGGAGCAGTATGGGGACGAGGAGGAGGAGGACGACGACGATGCTTTCTATCGCGGGCTCGTGGAGGGGGGGGAGGGCGAGGGGGCGGGGGGGGAGCGGGGGGAGGGGGAGGGGGAGGGGGACTGCGGGGCGGAGGCTGTGCGGCAATGGGCCGAGGTGAGGCAAGGGGGAGAGGGGGAGAGAGGGAGGGAGGAAGAGAGGCGGAGAGAGGGGGAAGGTGTGGAATGGGTAGATGCCCTGTGCAAGCCAGCTTGTTCGTAGAACATGGTGCCTTGTGCCCCAATGCCGTCTATCCCCCCTCCTCCCAAACTCCCTCCCGATCCTCTCTACCCCACCCCCCCAGGATCATCACGACGATGCGCTGCAGAAGTGTGCGCATGCCACACATCCGCAGGTCCCTCTGTGCGGGCAGGCCATGCTGTTCCACCCGCTGCCTCACCTGCTGCCGCTCCAAAACCTCCCTTCCCCTTCCCCCTTCCCCCTTCCCCCGCCTCCCCCACAGGATCATCACAACGACGCGCTTCAAATCGTGTGCGCGTACCACACCTCTGCAGTCCCTCCGTGCGGCCAGGCCATGCTCTTCCACCCGCTGCCGCACCTGCTGCCGCTCGGCTTCTCCCGCAGCGAGCTGGATATTGACGAGCGCTGCTTCCCCGCCCACGCTGACGACTTACTCCTCAGAGAGCTCATGCATGCTGAGGAGGCCGCTGGGGTCGCGTGCTTCGCCGTTGCTGCTGCGTGTCGTGCTCTCAGCCTCGATAATGTGAGTCAAACTCCGCAGCGAGCTGGATAATGATGAGCTCTGCTTTCCGCCCCACGCTGACGACCTGCTTCTCCCATGCACGCCAAGGAGGCTGCTTCTCCCATGCACGCCGAGGAGGCTGCTGGGGTGGCTTGTTTTGCTGTTGCTGCTGGGGTGGCTTGTTTTGCTGTTGCTGCTGGGGTGGCTTGTTTTGCTGTTGCTGCTGGGGTGGCTTGTTTTGCTGTTGCTGCTGGGGTGGCTTGTTTTGCTGTTGCTGCTGGGGTGGCTTGTTTTGCTGTTGCTGCTGGGGTGGCTTGTTTTGCTGTTGCTGCTGGGGTGGCTTGTTTTGCTGTTGCTGCTGGGGTGGCTTGTTTTGCTGTTGCTGCTGGGGTGGCTTGTTTTGCTGTTGCTGCTGCTTGCCGCGCTCTCAGCCTTGACAATGTGAGTTGAAACGCCTTTATGTGCGTGCTGCTGTGGTTGTGGAATTGTGTCACATGCCCGTCGTACCACCCATCGGGCTTTCCTCATTCTCCCCCCTCCTCCTTCCTCCTTCCCACTGCTCTATCCATCCCCCTCTCCTCCCTTCCCTTCCCCTCTCTCCTCCTCCCCTCCCCTCCCCTCACATCACATCTTCCCTTCCTTTCCCATCCCACTGCCCCCACGTCTCCCCCGCCCCCACACCCTTGCCAGATCCTCACAGTGCTAGCAGCAGTGCTGCTGGAGCGACAGATTGTCTTCGCCTGCCCCAACCTCTCCCTCACTCCTCCTCTCCACGCCGCCCACGTCTCCCCTCCCCTGCCCCCGCTGCTACACCCCCCTTTCAGATCCTCACGGTGCTAGCAGCGGTGCTGTTGGAGCGACAGATCGTCTTCGTCTGCCCCAACCTGGTGCGTGCTGCTGCTCATGCCATTGCGGCAGCGCCGTTGCTGCCCTCGTCCTGCTCATGCTGTTGCTGCGCCACTGCTGCTGCCGCATCACTCCCGAGCCACTGCTGCTGCCGCTAAACCCATCCGTCAGCTTTCAGTTCAGTTCCATATGCCCCCCTTCAGCCCCCCTCTCGTGCCTCATCTCCTTCAGCCCCCCTCTCGTGCCTCATCCCCTTCAGCCCCCCTCTCGTTCCTCATCCCCCACGCCCTCTCCAACCAGCTGCACCTTTCAAACCACCCAACCCCTTCCCTTGCCCAACTCTTTCCCCCTTCTCCCCAACCCCTCCATTCCTCCCTTCTTCTCCTCATCCTCCCTCCCCCAACCCCTCTTCTCCCTCCCCTTCCTCTCTCCCTTCTGCCTGTGCGCCGTGGCAGAGTGTGCTGTCAGCGGTGGTGCTATCACTCATCCCCATGATCCGCCCCTTCTCCTGGCAGTCCGTGCTGCTGCCGGTCCGTGCCGCTCCTCCCTCCAAGCCCTCTATACTCCATCGCTCCCCACTCTGCTCTTTCATCTTTCATTTCTCCCTTGCTGTCCCCCGTTGCATTGAGCACCTGCTGTGTGCTCTGCTCCTTGCTCTCTGCTCTCTTCCCTCTGCATTCTGCTTTCTACTCTATGCTTTCTGGACTGTCATCTGTTTTTTGCGTAAATCCCGCTGCCAGTGGAAAGGAAGCAAGGGCGCATGCATGCGACACACGCACTGCCACCATGCCTGTAACTTCCCATCCACCCCTCCTCTCCCTCCACCCTTTCTCTCCCAACCCTTCCACGCCACAGATTCTGCCCAGCCAGCTCCTCACATTCCTCGATGCGCCAGTGCCCTTCCTTGTGAGTCCCGCCCTCTTCATGAATCCATGCATGTTGTGCTCTGGTTGTGCCAACAATCGTTTCTCATCTCTTCCCTCTATGCCTAACTCTTCCCTCTCCCACTTTCCTCCCCCCTCTCCCATTCTTCCACTCCATCTTTCCTCTCCCATCTCACTCCTGGGCTCCCCCTCCCCTCCCACCTCTCCCGTGGCGCCATGCAGGTGGGCATGCAGTACAAGACAGTGGAGCTCAAGGACCGAGCCAGCAGCAACCTCATCCGAGTGAACATTCCCAAGGACAAGGTGAACATTCAGTGAACATTCCCAAGGACAAGGTGAACATTCAGTGAACATTCCCAAGGACAATGAAAGCACCCCGCTCCCCTTCTCCATTCGCTGTCTCCTTCAACGCAGCAAACTGCCTTGCTGCACCTACCACCTCTCCATCCCCCCTGAGTCCCTTCTTACCCTGTCTCTACTTCCCCTCCTTCCCCCCCACCAGGTGAAGGTGCCCACGTACCTGCCGCGCCTGCCAGACGAGGGGGATCTGTACAGCCGCCTCGAGCCCTTCCACTCCACACGTGGGGGTCACCTCTTCCCCTCCGCCCTGGGGTGACCGGCTCTCCTTCTTTCGCCTTCTCACCCTGACTGTCTTCACCATGTCTCCCCCCTCTTACACCAGGTGAAGGTGCCCACGTACCTGCCGCGCCTGCCAGACGAGGGGGATCTGTACAGCCGCCTCGAGCCCTTCCACTCCACACGTGGGGGTCACCTCTTCCCCTCCGCCCTGGGGTGACTGGCTCTCCTTCTTTCGCCTTCTCACCCTGACTGTCTTCACCATGTCTCCCCCCTCTTACACCAGGTGAAGGTGCCCACATACCTGCCGCGCCTGCCAGACGAGGGGGATCTGTACAGCCGCCTCGAGCCCTTCCACTCCACACGTGGGGGTCACCTCTTCCCCTCCGCCCTGGGGTGACTGGCTCTCCTTCTTTCGCCTTCTCACCCTGACTGTCTTCACCATGTCTCCCCCCTCTTACACCAGGTGAAGGTGCCCACATACCTGCCGCGCCTACCAGACGAGGTGGACCTGTACAGCCGCCTCGAGCCATACCATTCCGCCCTCGCCTCCGTGCCGCATGCTGACAAGCGCCCCATGTACCGCACCACTGAGGACCAGGTGAACGCAACAGAGGGTTTTTGAGATGTCTTATCAAGCCTTGCCTCCATGCCGCACGCTGACAAGCGCCCCATGTACCGCACCACTGAGGACCAGGTGAGGCTCGGACATATTCCCAGTGAGCTGTGGTGCTTAGGAGGAATCTCTTTTGAGGTGTCTCTAAAGCAGCCGCCTCGATCCATACCACTCTGCGCTCGCCTCCATGCCGCATGCTGACAAGCGCCCCATGTACCGCACCACTGAGGACCAGGTGAGGCTCGGACATATTCCCAGTGAGCTGTGGTGCTTAGGAGGAATCTCTTTTGAGGTGCCTCTAAAGCAGCCGCCTCGATCCATACCACTCTGCGCTCGCCTCCATGCCGCATGCTGACAAGCGCCCCATGTACCGCACCACTGAGGACCAGGTGAGGCTCGGACATATTCCCAGTGAGCTGTGGTGCTTAGGAGGAATCTCTTTTGAGGTGCCTCTAAAGCAGCCGCCTCGATCCATACCACTCTGCGCTCGCCTCCATGCCGCATGCTGACAAGCGCCCCATGTACCGCACCACTGAGGACCAGGTGAGGCTCGGACATATTCCCAGTGAGCTGTGGTGCTTAGGAGGAATCTCTTTTGAGGTGCCTCTAAAGCAGCCGCCTCGATCCATACCACTCTGCGCTCGCCTCCATGCCGCATGCTGACAAGCGCCCCATGTACCGCACCACTGAGGACCAGGTGAGGCTCGGACATATTCCCAGTGAGCTGTGGTGCTTAGGAGGAATCTCTTTTGAGGTGCCTCTAAAGCAGCCGCCTCGATCCATACCACTCTGCGCTCGCCTCCATGCCGCATGCTGACAAGCGCCCCATGTACCGCACCACTGAGGACCAGGTGAGGCTCGGACATATTCCCAGTGAGCTGTGGTGCTTAGGAGGAATCTCTTTTGAGGTGCCTCTAAAGCAGCCGCCTCGATCCATACCACTCTGCGCTCGCCTCCATGCCGCATGCTGACAAGCGCCCCATGTACCGCACCACTGAGGACCAGGTGAGGCTCGGACATATTCCCAGTGAGCTGTGGTGCTTAGGAGGAATCTCTTTTGAGGTGCCTCTAAAGCAGCCGCCTCGATCCATACCACTCTGCGCTCGCCTCCATGCCGCATGCTGACAAGCGCCCCTTGTACCGCACCACTGAGGACCAGGTGGGGGAAACAGAGAGCTGGGTGGGGTGGGGAGATGTTCATACATATTCCCGGTGAGATGCGGTGCTTAGCAAGTCGGTTCTTGAGGAGCCTAAAGAACAGTCGCCTGGAGGCCCTCGACTTGCCTCCGTGCCGCACACTGACAAGCGCCCCATGTACCGCACCACTGAGGACCAGGTGGGCGCAACAGAGGGCCAGGTGGGCGCAACAGAGGCCCAGGTGGAGGGCCAGGTGGGCGCAACAGAGGCCCAGGTGAGGACCAGGTGGGGGGAACAAGGAGCCAGGTTGACGAAACAAAGGGCCAGGAGGGTGCAAGAGAGGGCCACGTGGGGTTAGCAGAGGGTGAGGTGGGCTGTGTGGAGCACAGCAACCACGGATACGCTATGATGCTGCATGAACAGCTCCTTTGCAGTCCCTCCTGGCTCGTTCTCACTCATTTTCTCCCTCTTTCTCTATCTGTGTGTGCGTGTTTGTGCGCATGGGTGACGGCTGCAATGGCTGTGTGTGAGTGAGTGAGTGAGTGAGAGAGAGGGAGAGCAGGTGGCGGCGGCGGATGGCTTCCTGCTAACGCTGAGGCTTCATGCATGACCATCCCTCTCACTGTCACTCCCGGCTCTTTCTCACGGCCTCCCTCTTTCTCATGGCCTCCCACTTTCTCCATGTGTGAGAGCAGGTGGCGGCAGCAGACGGCTTTCTGCTAACGTTGCGGAGCTACATCGACACCTTCTGCACCCACGTGCGCATGTCACTCCTGGCCTTTTCTCACCCATTTGCTCCCAATTTCTCTATCTGTGTGTGAGGGGGTGCCACTGTGAGAGCAGGTGGCGGCAGCAGACGGCTTTCTGATGACGCTGAGGAGCTACATTGACACCTTCTGCACCGACGTGCGCATTCACACCATCACCAGCGTCAACCAGGGTGGCCAGCGGGTGAGTAGTGTGCCAGAGTCACATTTTCTTGAGAAGCACTTCAGTCTGGTGCCCATTCCAATTCCAAGGCATGTGTGGATCTTGGAATGCATTGCCTCTTTTCGCCAATGACCTAACACATTATTGTTATGACATGGCACGGCATGGCATGGCATGGCATGGCATGGCAGGTGTCGCTTCTCCTCAAGGAGAGCTTTGTCAACGGCTTCCCAGAGGATGACCAGGAATTCTTTCAGGCATGCTCCTCCCCTCTCCTACTGCGCACTGGCCCTGCTTGTTTATATTTTCTGGCCGTCTTCATTATCCTTCATTGTGCTAATACTGTCAGCATCGCATATTTCTATTGTTCAACTTCTGAGATTTGCAAGCTTCATTTTTTTGCAGGTATTCGCTGGCACTCAACTCTTCACCATGCATATTGATACCTTGCTGGCCTCTGATGAGGTTATGTGAGTCTGTGAAGCCTACACTACAATATTAGTTGCTTTGTCTAACTGTATATTGGAGCCTTCTTGGTTGCAATGCTTCAAGTAACACACGTGCGGGTGGTTGGCATTGTTTGTACATGATTTGCGACCAGTCAGAGGCCTTTTTCCGAAGCTACCCTGGACAGGAAAATGTTCATCGCGACTGAAACAACGTCACCTGGATCTTCCATCCAATCCTGACGCTTTGGTTAACACGTGACAAACCCAATCCCGCTGTTCCGCGAATGACATGCCCTGGATGATAGCGACGCAATTTTGCATTGGACTTGGCAGATGCCAGCTGGTCTCTCAACCCGTGAGAAAGCACGCGAGCAGTTACATGCGCCGCGAGCTCACGTGACACGGCAGCAAATCCCTTTTCCATTCCAACAGGGGCGAATTCGTTCAGTGGAGGCGCATTCGCCCTCTTCTGGCATTGCAGTATTTTGTTACCGAATTATATCAAGAGAGCTACATTCACTCTCCCATCTTTCGACTTTCCTGAAACCTGCTCCTCAATCCTCACAGCAGCAAACCCACGACAAGCTGGCCCTCCACCACCAGTGCCTGTCTTCTTCCCGAGCCCTAAACTAGAATCCACCTTGGCCGCTGCTTAAGGTGTTACACATCTCGCTAATCGTTTCTAGAGTTACACATATTATCCCATGGCGTTCAGGCGTGTACTTAGCCGCGTTGCGTCGTCCGTCCGACAGGTATGAGTCTCGTCGATTATAATTGACGCTTCGATGGACTCGCCGTCCCCTGAGCAAACAGCTCTTTTTAACCAGCAAGAATATAATGGAGCCCTCAGTACGGCGTTTTGTCTGAGTAACAATCTCCAGTTCAAGTGTCTTATGCTTCCTCCCCGCTTCTTCCCTCCCCCGTCGCCAGGCCGCTTCCAAGCCCGGCGGCGTTCTCAAGGGAGTGGAAGACGCCGCGCCGCACCGCCTCTCCTCCACGGTGCGCCGCCGCTGAACCCGCCAACCCATGCGCCGTGCCGCGTTCCAGCACTTCCGCGCAAATTCGTCCGTCCAAACGTTGACTTGACCACGCCTCGTCCTCACTATCTAACCATGCTTCGTCCTCTCTTCTTAACCACGCGTCATCCTCTCTTCTTAACCACGCGTCGTCCTCATTTCTCGGCCATTCTGCATTTTTCTCGCCCCTCGCCGCCTCGCGCGCTGCTTGCCGCACGCTGCGCGGGGGTGCAGTTGCCGCAGCGCGTGCCGGAGCTGGTGGACCTGCGGGAGACGATGGAGGAGGTGGTGCCGGAGCAGCGCGCGCGACTCGCGGAGATTAAAGCCAAGTACGGCGACATGGTCCTGGGTGACGTCACCGTCAACATGGTACGCGCATGCGCGCGCCTCGTTGTGCCTCGTCGCCGCATGATCATTCTCTCGGCCGAGTATGCATCGAACGCGAATCATGAATGTGCGTTATTGCGATGTGCCACGTGGCAGGCGGTGGGCGGAATGCGCGGCATCAAGGGCCTTCTCTGGGAGACGTCGCAGCTCGACCCGCTCCAGGTAACACCCGCTCCAGGTAACACCCGCTCCAAGTACCAGCCTTTCCCAACTGCATTGCCACTTACCCTCGCCGCCATTCCGCCAGTGGTCCTCGCCCCTCACTAGTATACCGTCCATCACCAAAGCTTCTCGCCCTCGCCTTTCCCCTCTCTCAGTCCTCCCCCTTTCTCCTCCCGTCTTCCCTTCCCTCCCTTCCTCCCCCGCGCGTCGTTCCGCCGGTGCGCCGTGCGCCAGGGCATCAAGTTCCGCGGGCTGTCCATTCCTGACTGCCAGGCGCAGCTGCCCTCCGCGCTCGACGGCGGCCAGCCACTGCCCGAGGCGCTGCTCTGGTTGTTGCTCACGGGCGAGGTGAGCTGCGGGAGCAACTGTATAATGGTGACTGTAACGCCGTGGCTGTAGCGCGGTGACTGTAGCAGTGTGGTTGTGCTGGGGGCAACGATCGAGGTTCTCAACGCTAATGCAGATGGGGTGGCTTTTTCCAGCGGGTAGGGCCACGGTCATTACATCTCATGCCACATGCCATGCCTCCACCTGCCATGCCTCTCTCATCTGCTCCACAAAGCATCCACTGAATGGCTGAATGGTGCATTCACCACCCACCTCCGACGCCCTCCCCCTTCACTCATCCTTCCATCCACCACCCGCCCCTCGCCCCTCCGCCCGCTCTCCCCCCCCGCACTCCTTCCCTCCCCACCACCAGGTTCCCACGGAAGAGCAGGCGGTGTCGCTGGCCGTGGAGCTGCAGGACAGAGCGCGACTGCCAGGTAGGTAACTATAACGCGGATAGAGCTTGGTACAAGAGCTGCTGGTGCTGACATCTCTTCCCCCAAACCAAAGGTGTGCCAGGTTATATGGTCGCTGCCCCCATTGCTCCATCCAACGACGCATCCAAACCAGATCTCAATACTCTCTTCTCCCCCCTCTTTTGCCCTCTCCTCTCACCCTCTCTCCCTCTCACCCTCTCTCCCTCTCTCCCTCTCCTCTCACCCTCTCTCCCTCTCACCCTCTCTCCCTCTCTCCCTCTACTCTCACCCTCTCTCCCTCTCTCCCTCTCACCCTCTCTCCCTCTCTCCCTCTCTCCCTCTCTCCCTCTCTCCCTCTCCCCAGACGCGGTGTGTCAGGTCATATGGTCGCTGCCCCCATCGCTGCACCCAATGACTCAACTCTCCATAGCAGTGCTCGCTCTTCAACGCACCTCCAAGTTCGCAGCCGCGTACCACCGCGGCACGCACAAGCGAGACCTCTGGCGCTACGCACTAGACGACAGCCTAGATCTGATCGCCGCCCTGCCGGAGATCGCCGCCCGGATCTACAACCGCAGCTGCAAGGAGGGCGGCGCGCGGCCGGGCGTGCGGGCGGCACGGGAGGATCTGGATTATGCGGGGAATCTGGCGCACATGATGGGGTTCGATGATGAGAGGATGGACGAGCTCTTGCGGCTGTACCTCACCATCCACGCGTGAGTCCCTCTGCGGAGAATCTACCTAGTTAGGAATCTGGCTCATATGATGGGATTCGATGATGAGAGGATGGACGAGCTGCTACGGCTGTACCTCACCATCCACGCGTGAGTCAACTTACAGAGCTCCTATGGCTGCACCTTACTAGGCGGGGAATCTGGCGCACATGATGGGGTTTGACGAGGAGCGGATGGACGAGCTCTTGCGCCTCTACCTCACCATCCTCGCGAGCTCTTGCGCCTCTACCTCACCATCCTCGCGTGACTGGCTAATAGGTGCTGCCGCTTCACTGTCACCCACATTCCCTTATGTGCTCTCTTACATGCTCCCTCCCACTCATCTCCTCTTTCCATGTCACCTCCCCAGTTGCTGTCGTCTAATCAACCTACCATCGCCTGACCTGTGCGCTATGTGACCATCGGTACATGCAGGGACCACGAGGGCGGCAACGTGAGCGCGCATTCCACCCACCTGGTGGGGTCGGCGTTGTCCGACCCGTTCCTCGCCCTCTCTGCTGGCCTCAATGGGCTCGCCGGCCCGCTGCACGGGCTGGCCAATCAGGTGAGAGCTGGCTGCTGGCATGCACCCCCAACTGCTCGTACCTCCGGTTGCCCACCCCCAATGCAACATTCCTCATTCCTCCCACGAAACGGTTCAACGCAGCGAGCCTGTTGGAGGCAGCGAAACCGTCTGATCTGAGGCAGCGAACCTGTAGACCATGTTCGCTGCCTCGAACGGGTTCGCTGCGTTGAACATGTTTGCTGCCCGAATGGCAAATGGGAGGAGCACGTGGGCGTGGGGCTGGCCGCAACACTCCTCCCCCCCCCTTGTTCCCCACTCCCAACACTCCCTTCCTCCCAACGGCCATTGCTCATTCATCCTTCATCCCTTCTCCCTCCCATTTACAGGAGGTGCTGGGGTGGCTACACGCGCTGAGAGCGGAGCTTAGGGAGAGGCCCAGCAAGGAGCTCCTGGGGGAGCACGTGAGGCGGGGACTGGCAGCAGGGCGAGTGGTGCCCGGGTATGGACATGCGGTGCTGCACCCAGTCTCCCACCCCCACTGCACCATTGCTGATGTGTCTTCCTGTTACTCCCCTGCCCTCCCCTCCCCCTCCCCAGGAGGTGCTGGGGTGGCTGCACGCGCTAAGAGCGGAATTGGGGGAGAGACCGAGCAAGGAGCAGCTGGGGGAGCACGTGAGGCGGGGGCTGGCAGCAGGGCGGGTGGTGCCGGGGTATGGGCATGCTGTGCTGCGCGTGACTGACCCGCGCTACTCGTGCCACGGGAGTTCGCACGGCAGCACATGCCGCACGACCCCATGGTGCAGCTGGTGAGAGCTGAGTTGAATGTGTTGACTGCGGTTGACTGCGTTGACTGGGTTGACTGCATTGGAGGGTGGTGCCGGGGTATGGGCATGCTGTGCTGCGAGTGACTGATCCACTCTACTCGTGCCAGCGGGAGTTCGCATGGCAGCACATGGCCCACGACCCCATGGTGCAGCTGGTAAGTGCTGGGTTTACTCTGTTGACTCGGTTGACCGCTGCTAGTGCCCGTTGTGCTGACTTCGTTGACTGCAATAGCTGGGTTGGTCGTGCGGCTCACCTTCCCTCTGCCACCGCGTTGACTGTGTGGATAGCGTTGACTATGTGGTTAGCGTTGACTGTGTGGATAGCGTTGACTATGTGGTTAGCGTTGACTGTGTCGCTCATCTCCTCCGGTTGCTCCCCTCCCATATGGCGTTGACTGCATTGACTGCGTTGACTGCATTGACTGCGTTGACTGCATTGACTGCGTTGACTGCATTGACTGCGTTGACTGCATTGACTGCGTTGACTGCAGGTATCAGACCTGTACGAGGTGGTGCCGCCCATTCTGAAGGAGACTGGCAAGGTGAGGGGGGTATGGGCGGGGGGGGAGCGGGAGCTGGGGAAGTGAGGGGAGATAGAGGCAAAATGAGTCAGGAGAGGGGTAAGGTGAGGGGGAGAGAGTGCATATGTGTGCACGTGTGCATGAGTGTGTGCATGCATCCGTCCTCATACCTCCACCTCCCCCCTTCCCCTTTACCCCTCCACAGGTGCAGAACCCCTGGCCCAACGTGGACGCGCATAGCGGCGTGCTGCTGCAGCACCTCGGGTTAACCAATGCCAAGTGAGTGCTGCAGCGTAGCAAGAGGGCATGTAGCATGCGAGATCATTATGAGGGTTTGCTGCAAAGGGTTTGTAGGATGGGGCTTGGCACAGGAGGGGCAGGTGGTGTGGGGCTTGGCACAGGAGGGGCAGGTGGTGTTGGGCTTGTGCCAATGGGTTTTCACCACCTAAGCGTCAGCAACAGCAAGCGAGTGCAACAAAAAGGGTGTGCAGGAGCATGAGAGGAGTGAGTGGAACAAGGCTTGTTTCAGGGGGCGCACCCTGCATGTCACATGTCCCTGAGCATATCTTTACTGTGAGTCTCTTGTGCACCTTCCTTCTCCCAACCCCTTAAACCAAACCACCTTCACAGGTTTCTTCCTCTCTCCGCCCAATTCACCCCACCAGCTTCTACACTAAGCTGTTCGGCGTCTCTCGAGGGCGTCTGCTTGTCTAGGTCCCCTCCCCCCTCTCCTCAAAACAACCCCTCTCCACACCCCCTTTCTTCCCTTTCCAACCCCCCCTCCCCCCCTCCCTGGCTCAATTCACCCCACCAGCTTCTACACTGTGCTGTTCGGCGTCTCTCGAGCCATGGGCGTGCTTTCTCAGGTTAGTGCCGTGCCTTACCGCATCCCACCGCACTGCCTCGCATCACACCTCACTGTCTCAATTTCACTGCTGCTACGGCGATGCTCATTTGCCTTGAGCTCCACTGCTTGATTCGCAACTCTCTGCCATGCCCCCTGCTGTTCTCTTTCCCCTCTGCCTCGGTTCCACCACGGTCTCGTTCTACAGCACGCTCTGACCTAGCAGCACTTCACCTGCTACTCCCACTCTCAACCACCCCTCCCTTCTCTCTCTTCTCACTCATCTCTCCCCAATCTCCTCCCCCTCTCCTCCCCTCTCTCCTCCCCTCACTCCCCTCTCTCCCCCCTGATCCTCCCATCAGCTGGTGTGGGACCGGGCCTTGGGATTGCCGTTGGAGCGCCCCAAGAGCATCACCATGGACTGGATTCAGCAACATGCAGCAGACACGGGCTTTATGGGCGAAGCTCACACGCACACACATGCCGCCAAGACGGCAGCATGAATAATTGCAGCCTGAAGGCCACCAACTTTCTCTTGTATCCTCTTGCCGGGCTTGGGAGCCGAACCAACTAAGAAGTTGGTGAAATCTTGCTGCGCTGTTTTTTTCATCCGGTGCACATTCTGTGTGCTGCTCGTTTCTCAGTGCTGCTTTACTGAGCTGTCTGGTTCTCGTTAGTGGCAGGGCACAGCAAGATTTCAAGAGTCTAGATTGTCCTGCTGCATCTAAAATTATGGTTTATCCATCTTATTTGTGTATAAAAATGTGAAGAGGGCTTTTGCAAATCGTTGGGACCAAGGGTTGAAGTATATAATAAATGGAGCATTGGTAAAACTACTACTAGAAAGCAGTGACATTTGATTAGCATTCGTTGTGGATTGTTTTTAACACAAAATCGGTGAAAAAAAATCAGCTTGCACACCCTCTGTTTATCTAACAGAATGGTTGGGACCTTTAGGAGGAAATACATCCAACAAAATTCAGGTTGCTTATTGTGGGCTAGTCAATATTTGTTATGCTGTTAGTTCGACACTCTATAAGGTACAAAATATGCATGCGACCTAGGTTTGCATGAGCATCTGCAGCAGAGCACTTCACCTGCGGTCACCACGTCACATCCTTTCGATTTCAAGACCAGGGAAGGATGTGACGGCACAGTTCCGGCTGCGTATCTTTTTTACGGCCATAAAGTGGAGTTGGTGGGAACGGACAAATCTGATCTAAGAATGAATTGGCGCAGTCAGCAGCACGTGTCGGCTGACTAACCGATCCGTTAAACCTTGGACCTATCCGAGTCCTCGGCTTGGCTGGTTGTTGATCGTACAGCTGTGCATTTAAAGTGCACGTGGTTTTTACAACGCTGCTGTTTCTGTGGATCAGTGAGCGCCTCATGGCTTTACTGTTCAAAGCATAATGGGCCATGTGCGGTGGAATGGGCGAGAGGGATGCAAAAACTTTGGATGCTTGACAGTCCAGCGTGGACGTTGTTTGCTTTACCAACCGCGAAATTAAAATTGTCGTATTTGCAAAACCAGCGTTACACGAGCATGCGTTTGCAGTTGTCGAGATTTCGCGGGAGGATGACATGTGTTGACGTGCTGTGTCGACGGCTTGTGGCTATGGTTCGTTACAGGTCGGCGGTAAAAGCTGCAGTGAACCGAGTTGGTTGGGAAACACGCGTTTTTTTCCGCCATATTGCTTGTTGCGGAAAAGCATTCCGTCTAAAAGCTTCGAATGACAATGGTGATGTTCAGTACACCCTGAGCCCGTGCAATCCCCAACGCTATACTTACTGCCCAATTCCCCGATCGTGCTTAGCAAAGGATCAGTTCCACATCGGGCAGCCAAGGATCACGTCGAGTACAGTGCAGAGTTGTTGGTCCCTTCTTTCAACAAACCTCACTCCCTCAGTACATACTCTGCTCATTAGCGTTGGTGTGGATAACGAAACGATGCCTCACCTCAACTGTTCATCCACGCCATGTGGGGGGAGAGGGGGGAGAAGGGAAAACCCACGAGGAAGGGGAGATGTCGAAGCGCGTCTAGCAGCAGCCAAGCGGCTCGATCGAATCACCCACACACACGGCCCAGAAGTCGCTCCATTTTCCTAGGCATCCAGCAAGGACGGGGTTGCGGTGAAGGGTGAGCCACCTACAAAGTGCGAGTTCCAGCAAGGCAAACCACAAGCAAACACAACCTTCACTTTCAACACCAGCTTCCCACTTCCAGTCTAAAGCAAGCTCCGCTCAAGCCAGCTAAACATCTTGAAGCGTCGCTCACACACTAAAACCTTGTGACACTACAGCCTTTCGTTGACAAATCAATCGCCGAAGCAGTTTCTGGTCGACCCATCCCGTAAAACTACTTGCGATCAGCATGGCCACAGCCACAGCCAGTCCATGGGGCGACGAGTCTGCAGCCTCGCACTTCAGCAAGTTCGCTCTGCGCACCGAGAACACCGAGGAGTGGTGCAAGCAGCCGCCCGCGCTTGTAAATGCCGCCGATCCGCGCTTCCCCGATAGCGCTGTTGATCTCTCCGACATCTGCGGCGACTCCGACTCCAACAGCGTCGCGAACCTTTCCGACATCTGCGGCTTTAACGACCTCAACTCGCCGCGCTCCGCCGTCTCTTCCCCCAGAAGCGGCCTCGGCAGCCCGGCGACCTCCCAGCCCAACTCCGCGAACAACTCGGGGGCGCTCTCGATAATCTCCGATACCCCCTCGAACACGTCATCGGGTAACAGTCGCCCGTCCACCGGCCGCGTGTCGCTCGCGCAGCAGCTTCTGCAGCAGCAGATGGGCGGCAACGCGCGATTCACGTCGATTAATCCGGGGAGCAAGGGCACCAACGTGGCGTCTCTAGCGGGAATCAGCGACTACGGCAGCTACACCGGATCGCCCGTGACGCCGCTCATGCCGAGCTTCAGCTGCGCGTCGTCTGAGGCGTCGGGCCAATCACCGGCGAATCGCGCGTGGCGACAATCGAGCGACCCTCGCGCGGTGTCGCAGCAGACGGCGACGATGAGGGAATCGTCGCTTCGCGAGAAACTCCTGCGAGCGAGCAGCGCGGCAGCCTCCGAAAGTGAGTATCTTTGAAACGTCTTCGCGTTCTACTAGTTCCTCTTCGCTTCAATCGCACGTGCCGTGTCTGCACAACCTGACATCTCAAAGTACGAAGTCACTGACCTGTGGCCTCTCGTCTCTCGTCTCTCCCCGTTTTCTTCTCTCCAGCCTCATCGCAAAGCTCCTGGCACGAGCAACAATCTCAAGCCGCGTCCGCCTATTCCGCCCGCGAGTCCGCTTCGGCGGGCGACGACTATTATTGCGAGCCGGAGGAGAACGAGCAGGGCGAGCTCGACTTCTCGGACATTAAATCCGTCTGCCTTAACTTCGACGAGGCACAGCAGCAATCCGAGGAAATGGAGTTCCAACGCGCGCGCCTCGAGACCGTCGACATCGTTCCCCTCGCGTCCGGACCGCGAAATAGATTTATGTCGGCGGCAGCTGTCAGCATGCCCGAACACGTTCTCTTCGCGCTCACATTCTCCAATTCCCCCGCGCTTCGCCTGCCCGGAGACGAATCTATTCAGAAGTTATTCCCGCTTAACATGCAGCAGCGCGCGGCGCAGGACAAACCGCAGGGCCCCGCGCACACACACGGCTCCGCTTTCGGCGGGAACGGAGGCGCGAAGCGGAATGAATTTTTCCCCAGCTACTTGAGAAGCGGCGCAGGTGCCGCCGCGGCATGCGGCATTCCGAGCTACGGCAGCTACGCTTGATCCAGATCGACCTTGGGACGAACGGTCTCAAAGTCGCATCAGCCCCGCGGGGACGGTGATCGTGCGGGGAAAGGACGCTCGAGATGCTACGAGCGGCGCGAGGCTCGCTGGGCAGGGCTGATTGCCCTTTCGGCGGGACTCGCTACGTCAAAGACGGATCGGCTCAGACTGTGGGCCTTTCTCAACCACCTCACCTGAACAGTTGGATCTCCCGTCGCGTGGAGACGTTTTGAGGTGCTCGCAATGGAAGGCAAGCCTGAGGAATGTGGGGAGGCGCCGCGTGGCTAGTTCAGCTTGCAGCTGATTTGAGATGGAAGAAGAAATGTGCGCAGCGAAGCGGTGGTGAGGGGGAAAGGAGAGAGAGAAATTCGAGCATGTTGCGACCCTGATCGCGTGCATTCGCGCATCACGCCCTCTAGTGGATTGTGGTGTAGATGCAGAGCAGACCCGCACTGGGTTCTCGCTTGAGCGTTTTCGCTGTACATTATTTGTAGGTCAAATAAATGTTGTAAGTGTAGCATATTTATTCTACCGATAGTGAATCAATAACCAAATATTAACATGTTTTGCTCGTAGTGCTTTCTAGCGAATTGCACTTTTGTTCAAGCGAGTTCAATGTTGCATTCGTGCTTCTCAACCCTGCTTGCGCTCCCACGAGCAGCTTGCTTCAAGCACTTCCATGTATTAGCAGCAACATTGTACACCTGAGTCTAGTCCTACCCAGGTATCCTCCTCGCGTCGCCATGATAGCCTCGTGTAGCGCCACGACCTGTCCACGAATACATTCCGTCGTTTTCTGCGCGCCTCCGTCCATCAGAAATCGCCGATGTTCTCAATGTTTCTCCACCACCCTGCGGCCTAGATTTGTCGACAGCACTCCCCTGCGCGCCGAGCATGTAGAATCTGTCGCGAGCGCGCAGTCAGCGCTCGGCGGTCGGTTTCCGTGCGCTGCCCTGCGCGTGCGGCGCTCGTCCGCGATAAGCGGCGGACGAAGCGCCGCGCCTGCCGCGTCTCGCGAGTTCCGCAGACGAGCGAGTCTAGCTCCCCGCGCGGTTCCCCCTGAGCGCGCCAGCCCGTCAGATTCCGCCGCTTTAGGGGAATCTCGAGGACCAGCGGAAGATCTGGGAGGAGTGACGTCAGTAGCACGCGGAGTGGAAAGCGGGAGAGGGGGGGGTAGTGCGGAGGACGACGGGGGAGGCGGGTGGTTTGAATGGGGGGTGGCGGAAGGGCAAGGGGAAGCACAGGCAGGGGGAGAGGCGGAGGGGGAAGGATGGGATGCTACGTTTGCCACGTGGCAGTCAGAGGAGGGGGAGGGCGGGAAGGATCTGACAGGCGGGTGGTCGTCAGATGAAGAGATGACTAAACGGTTCAGATTGCGGAACGGGCGCGAGGTGAGAGGAGGGGGAGATGAGAGGTTAGACGAGGACGGGAGGTGAGGAGAGGGGGAGAGGGGAGGGGAGGGAGGGAAGTGAGTGGTTATGCAGATGCCAGGGCATTTCGGGTGTGGGGAAAGTGCGCGGTGGGTGAGGAAGGGCAGATGACGAGGCAGGCTCTGATCCCCGCCTAATAATGCCCATCCCTGTTTCCTGTACACCTCTCACTTGCATTCCCCCCCCAGCTATCCCAGCCTCCCCTCCTCCCCTCCCCTCCTCCCCTCCCTTCCTCCCCCCCTTCCCTTCTTCCCCCTCCGCCCATCATATTCTAGAGGAGCGAGCCTTCCTGGTGGGTGTGGAGGTCAGGCCCTCTGCTTCTGCGTCCCCTTCCCCCTCGCCCCTGCCTCCCCCTCCGCCTCCGCTAAGGGTCGTTGGCCCCCCTCTCCTGCTATTCCCACCTCCTTCCCACTCCCCGTTCACCCCTCCTCTCTCCCCTCTCTCTTGTCCCCCCTCCGCCCATCAGATTCTCGAGGAGCGAGCCTTCCTGGTGGGTGTGGAGGTCAGGCCCTCTGCAACCCACTTCCCCCTCCGCCTCCCCCTCCCCCTCCGCCCCCACTCTCCGCTCACCGCTCCCCCTTCCCCCCTCTCCTTTCCCCCTGTCAGATTCTCGAGGAGAGAGCTTTCCTGGTGGGCGTGGAGGTCAGGCCCTCTGCACCCGCTCCCCCCTCCGCCTACCCCTCTGCCTCAGCGCCCTCGCTGTTCCCCATAGAGGAGTCGCTGGCGGAGCTGTCGCAGCTGGTGGAGACGGCCGGGCTCAGGGTCGTTGGCTCCACGCACCAGAGGTGAGTCTTCAGGTGCTGTTTCCTTGCTTCCTCCTCCTCTCCACCCCCTGTTGTGGCCTACCCTCCCCTCCCCTGGCGGAGCTGTCTCAGCTGGTGGAGACGGCCGGGCTCAGGGTCGTTGGCTCCACGCACCAGAGGTGAGTCTTCAGGTGCTGTTTCCTTGCTTCCTCCTCCTCTCCACCCCCTGTTGTGGCCTACCCTCCCCTCCCCTGGCGGAGCTGTCTCAGTTGGTGGAGACGGCCGGGCTCAAGGTTTTGGCTCTACACACCAGAGGTGGGATGAGCAGATTAAAGGGGTGAACGGGAGGCAGTGAGAGGAAAGGGGCCCCACCCCTACCCCATAGAGGAGGGAAGCTGTTCCCCATAGAGGAGTCGGTGGCTCTACACACTCTCCCCCTACCCCATTCCCCCTTTCCCAGGGTAGCATCACCTAACCCACGCACGTACATCGGAGCAGGCAAGGTGGACGAGGTGCGAGCAGCATCACTGCCGTGATACCAAGCCCAACCTGCGCCCTTCCCCAACTCCTCCCATCCCTGCCTTTACCAGAGTAGCGTCCCCCAATCCGCGCACGTACATAGGAGCGGGGAAGGTGGAGGAGGTGCGAGTAGCGGTGGCGGGCATGGGCATGGAGACGGTGGTGTTTGACGACGAGCTGAGCGCGGGGTGAGTGAGAGTGTGTGGGACAAGTGGTAGCAGTTAGCATACGTGTGGTTGACTGTATGTGTGCGAGCAGCAGTGGCGGGCATGGGCGTGGAGACGGTGGTGTTTGATGATGAGCTGAGCGCGGGGTGAGTGAGTGGGGGGTTGAGGGGGAATGATCGAAGATAGAGCGTCGACTCACAAAGAAAGAGCGTCGACTCACAAAGAAAGAGCGTCGACTCACAAAGAAAGAGCGTCGACTCACAAAGAAAGAGCGTCGACTCACAAAGAAAGAGCGTCGACTCACAAAGAAAGAGCGTCGACTCACAAAGAAAGAGCGTCGACTCACAAAGAAAGAGCGTCGACTCACAAAGAAAGAGCGTCGACTCACAAAGAAAGAGCGTCGACTTGCAGAGATAGAGCGTCGACTCGCATAGATAGAGCGTCGACTCACAAAACTGTAACATCAAATCACAGAGATAAACTGTTGAACGCACGTGTTCCCAACCCAATGTGGGGGCGATGTGAGGGTGTGCGATCGCACGGCGCTCATTGCCTCTCGCCCACGTGATCTCTCCCCTGCTAGTTCCCGCCTGCTCCCCTTCCTCCCTGACACAGTCAGCTGCAATGTGGAGAAAGAGTTTGGCGGCGATGTGAGGGTGTGTGATCGCACTACTTGTCTTTCTTTCCCGCTTTACTTGCCCTCTTTCCCAACCAACTCCCCACCCTCCCAGTCAGCTGCGCAATCTGGAGAAAGAGTTTGGCGGCGATGTGAGGGTGTGTGATCGCACGGCACTCATCATTGACATTTTCAGTCAACGCGCCAACACCAAGGAGGCAACTCTGCAGGTGCGCTGTCTGCATTGCACGTGTGGGAGCATGCATTCACACACTCGCGGCTCATCATTGAGTGCAGGTGAGCAGGGACCAACGCCCAAGCCCAACACCCAAGCCCAACGCGCAAGCCCAACGCCCAAGCCCAACGCCCAAGCCCAACGCGCAAGCCCAACGCGCAAGCCCAACGCGCAAGCCCAACGGCCAAGCCCAACGCCCAAGACGAAAGCCCAAGACCAACGCCCAAGACCAACGCCCAAGCCCAACGCCCAAGACCAACGCCCAAGACCAACGCCCAAGACCAACGCCCAAGACCAACGCCCAAGACCAACGCCCAAGACCAACGCCCAAGACCAACGCCCAAGACCAACGCCCAAGACCAACGCCCAAGCCCAACGCCCAAGCCCAACGCCCAAGCCCAACGCCCAAGACCAACGCCCAAGACCAACGCCCAAGCCCAACGCCCAAGCTCAACGCCCAAGCCCAACGCCCAAGACCAACGCCCAAGACCAACGCCCAAGACCAACGCCCAAGCCCAACGCCCAAGACCAACGCCCAAGACCAACGCCCAAGACCAACGCCCAAGCCCAACGCCCAAGCCCAACGCCCAAGACCAACGCCCAAGACCAACGCCCAAGCCCAACGCCCAAGACCAACGCCCAAGACCGACGCCCAAGACCAACGCCCAAGCCCAACGCCCAAGACCAACGCCCAAGACCAACGCCCAAGACCAACGCCCAAGCCCACGCCCAAGCCCAACGCCCAAGACCAACGCCCAAGCCCAACGCCCAAGACCAACGCCCAAGCCCAACGCCCAAGACCAACGCCCAAGACCAACGCCCAAGCCCAACGCCCAAGCCCAACGCCCAAGCCCAACGCCCAAGACCAACGCCCAAGACCAACGCCCAAGCCCAACGCCCAAGACCAACGCCCAAGACCAACGCCCAAGACCAACGCCCAAGACCAACGCCCAAGACCAACGCCCAAGACCAACGCCCAAGACCAACGCCCAAGACCAACGCCCAAGACCAACGCCCAAGCCCAACGCCCAAGACCAACGCCCAAGCCCAACGCCCAAGACCAACGCCCAAGCCCACGCCTTACGCCCAAGCCCAACGCCCAAGACCAACGCCCAAGACCAACGCCCAAGACCAACGCCCAAGCCCAACGCCCAAGCCCAACGCCCAAGCCCAACGCCCAAGCCCAACGCCCAAGACCAACGCCCAAGACCAACGCCCAAGACCAACGCCCAAGACCAACGCCCAAGACCAACACCCAAGCCCAACGCCCAAGACCAACGCCCAAGACCAACGCCCAAGCCCAACGCCCAAGCCCAAAGCCCAAGCCCAACGCCCAAGACCAACGCCCAAGACCAACGCCCAAGACCAACGCCCAAGACCAACGCCCAAGCCCAACGCCCAAGCCCAACGCCCAAGACCAACGCCCAAGACCAACGCCCAAGACCAACGCCCAAGACCAATGCCCAAGCCCAACGCCCAAGACCAACGCCCAAGCCCAACGCCCAAGACCAACGCCCAAGCCCACGCCCAAGCCCAACGCCCAAGACCAACGCCCAAGCCCAACGCCCAAGACCAACGCCCAAGCCCAACGCCCAAGACCAACGCCCAAGACCAACGCCCAAGCCCAACGCCCAAGCCCAACGCCCAAGCCCAACGCCCAAGACCAACGCCCAAGACCAACGCCCAAGCCCAACGCCCAAGACCAACGCCCAAGACCAACGCCCAAGACCAACGCCCAAGACCAACGCCCAAGACCAACGCCCAAGACCAACGCCCAAGACCAACGCCCAAGACCAACGCCCAAGACCAACGCCCAAGCCCAACGCCCAAGACCAACGCCCAAGCCCAACGCCCAAGACCAACGCCCAAGCCCACGCCCAAGCCCAACGCCCAAGACCAACGCCCAAGCCCAACGCCCAAGCCCAACGCCCAAGACCAACGCCCAAGCCCAACGCCCAAGCCCAACGCCCAAGCCCAACGCCCAAGACCAACGCCCAAGCCCAACGCCCAACGCCCAAGACCAACGCCCAAGCCCAACGCCCAAGCCCAACGCCCAAGACCAACGCCCAAGCCCAACGCCCAAGCCCAACGCCCAAGACCAACGCCCAAGCCCAACGCCCAAGCCCAACGCCCAAGCCCAACGCCCAAGACCAACGCCCAAGACCAACGCCCAAGCCCAACGCCCAAGACCAACGCCCAAGACCAACGCCCAAGCCCAACGCCCAAGCCCAAAGCCCAAGCCCAACGCCCAAGACCAACGCCCAAGACCAACGCCCAAGACCAACGCCCAAGACCAACGCCCAAGACCAACGCCCAAGCCCAACGCCCAAGACCAACACCCAAGCCCACGCCCAAGCCCAACGCCCGAGACCAACGCCCAAGCCCAACGCCCAAGACCAACGCCCAAGCCCAACGCCCAAGACCAACGCCCAAGACCAACGCCCAAGCCCAACGCCCAAGCCCAACGCCCAAGCCCAACGCCCAAGACCAACGCCCAAGACCAACGCCCAAGCCCAACGCCCAAGACCAACGCCCAAGACCAACGCCCAAGACCAACACCCAAGCCCAACGCCCAAGACCAACGCCCAAGACCAACGCCCAAGCCCAACGCCCAAGCCCAACGCCCAAGCCCAACGCCCAAGACCAACGCCCAAGACCAACGCCCAAGACCAACGGCCAAGCCCAACGCCCTAGACCAACGCCCAAGACCAACGCCCAAGCCCAACGCCCAAGACCAACGCCCAAGACCAACGCCCAAGACCAACACCCAAGCCCAACGCCCAAGACCAACGCCCAAGACCAACGCCCAAGACCAACACCCAAGCCCAACGCCCAAGCCCAACGCTCAAGACCAACGCCCAAGACCAACGCCCAAGCCCAACGCCCAAGACCAACGCCCAAGACCAACGCCCAAGCCCAACGCCCAAGACCAACGCCCAAGACCAACGCCCAAGCCCAACGCCCAAGCCCAACGCCCAACGCCCAACATGTCCTCCCCCCATTTCAACCTTTTCCTCAACTCATCCCCACCAGGTGCAACTAGCCCAACTAGAGTACCAGCTGCCACGCCTGACGTGCATGTGGACGCATCTGGAGAGGTGGTGGGGCTGACACGTGCGTGCATGCAACTTGATATCACCCCCTGTTTGCCCTTCCCCTTCTCGACCCCCCACCAGGTGCAACTAGCCCAGCTAGAGTACCAGCTGCCGCGCCTCACGCGCATGTGGACGCATCTGGAGCGGCAGGCAGGCGGCATGGTGAAGGGCATGGGAGAGAAGCAGATCGAAGTGGATAAACGAATCATCAGAGAACGGGTGAGTCAAAGAAAGTAGGGGGAAAGGGTGGGAAAGGGGTTGCCCGCGAGCTGTTCAGAAGGCAGGCGGCATGGTGAAGGGCATGGTGAAGGGCATGGTGAAGGGCATGGGGGAGAAGCAGATTGAAGTGGATAAACGAATCATCAGAGAACGGATGAGATGAGAGAGACGGGGGGGAGGGGGCGGGAGGGATTGTGAAGAGGTCACTTTGAGTGGAAGTTTTGGGCAGGCGGCATGGTGAAGGGCTTGGTGAAGGGCTTGGTGAAGGGCTTGGTGAAGGGCTTGGTGAAGGGCATGGGGGAGAAGTAGATTGAAGTGTATAAGACAGATGGCAGCACTACGGCGCAGCCTGACATCAGTGAGGGAGCACAGGCAGCAGCACAGGGACCGGCGGGCAGGGCTGCCCATCCTGGTGCTGTCCCTGGTGGGATACACCAACCAACGCCGGTAGACTCACACCAGAGCGGCCGCACTGCAAACATTCTCGTCTCTCCCTCTCTCCTACCACTGGTGGGATACACCAACCAACGCCGGTAGACTCACACCAGAGCGGCCGCACTGCAAACATTCTCGACTCTCCCTCTCTCCTACCACTGGTGGGATACACCAACCAACGCCGGTAGACTCACACCAGAGCGGCCGCACTGCAAACATTCTCGTCTCTCCCTCTCTCCTACCACTGGTGGGATACACCAACCAACGCCGGTAGACTCACACCAGAGCGGCCGCACTGCAAACATTCTCGTCTCTCCCTCTCTCCTACCACTGGTGGGATACACCAACCAACGCCGGTAGACTCACACCAGAGCGGCCGCACTGCAAACATTCTCGTCTCTCCCTCTCTCCTACCACTGGTGGGATACACCAACCAACGCCGGTAGACTCACACCAGAGCGGCCGCACTGCAAACATTCTCGACTCTCCCTCTCTCCTACCACTGGTGGGATACACCAACCAACGCCGGTAGACTCACACCAGAGCGGCCGCACTGCAAACATTCTCGTCTCTCCCTCTCTCCTACCACTGGTGGGATACACCAACCAACGCCGGTAGACTCACACCAGAGCGGCCGCACTGCAAACATTCTCGACTCTCCCTCTCTCCTACCACTGGTGGGATACACCAACCAACGCCGGTAGACTCACACCAGAGCGGCCGCACTGCAAACATTCTCGACTCTCCCTCTCTCCTACCACTGGTGGGATACACCAACCAACGCCGGTAGACTCACACCACAGCGGCCGCACTGCAAACATTCTCGTTTCTCCCTCTCTCCTACCACTGGTGGGATATACCAACCGACCCTCTCTCGCTCCTCTTCCCCTCCTCATTTTTCCTGCTTTTTTCCACCAGATGGCAGCGTTGAGGCGCAGCCTCACATCAGTGAGGGAGCACAGACAGCAGCACAGGGACAGGCGGGCCGGGCTGCCCATCCCGGTGCTGTCACTGGTGGGGTACACCAACGCGGGCAAGAGCACTCTGCTCAACCGGCTTACAGGCGCAGGCGTGCTGGCTGAAGACAAGCTGTTTGCTACCCTCGACCCCACCACTCGCCGCACACAGGTGAGTGCCTCTGCTCTGCTCCGCTGCTTGTTCCTTGCTGGCCTTGGTTGATGGGTTCAACCGTCACTGGTGGGATACACCAACGCGGGCAAGAGAACTTTGCTCAACCGGCTTACAGGCGCGGGCATGTTGGCAGAAGACAGGTTGTTTGCTACTCTCGACCCCACCACTCGCCGCACACAGGTGGGTTGGGTGCTGCACACTCCCCCACACACTCGCACACACAGGCCTGCCCATCCAGGTGCTGTCACTGGTGGGAACCACACACTGCACCGAGCGCTCATACGCTGCACCGCCCGCTCACACGCTGCAAGGCACGCTCATACGCTGCACCGCCCGCTCATACGCTGCACCGCCCTCTCATACGCTGCACCGCCCGCTCACACGCTGCACCGCCCGCTCATTCCCTGCACCGCCCACTCATACGCTGCACCGCCCGCTCATACGCTGCACCGCCAGCTCACACGCTGCACCGCCCGCTCATACGCTGCACCGCACGCTCATACGCTGCACCGCCCGCTCATACGCTGCACCGCCCGCTCATTCCCTGCACCGCCCACTCATACGCTGCACCGCCCGCTCATACGCTGCACCGCCCGCTCATACGCTGCACCGCCAGCTCACACGCTGCACCGCCCGCTCATACGCTGGACCGCACGCTCATACGTTGCACCGCCCGCTCATACGCTCATAAACTGATGGGATGAAACTGATGGGATGAAACTGATGGGATGAAACTGATGGTATGAAACTGATTGGGTGAATCTGATGGGGTGAAACTGATGGGGTAAAACTTATGGGATGAAACTGATGGGGTGAATCTGATGGGGTGAAACTGATGGGGTGAAACTGATGGGATGAAACTGATGGGGTGAATCTGATGGGGTGAAACTGATGGGATGAAACTGATGGGGTGAAACTGATTGGATGAAACTGATGGGGTGAATCTAATGGGGGGAAACTGATGGGGTGAAACTGATGGGGTTAAACTGATGGGGTGAAACTGATGGGGTGGAAACTTATGGGGTGAAACTGATGGGGTGAAACTGATCGGATGAAACTGATGGGATGAAACTGATGGGGTGAAACTGATCGGATGAAACTGATGGGATGAAATTGATGGGGTAAAACTGATGGGGTGAAACTGATGGGATGAAACTGATGGGGTAAAACTGATGGGGTGAAACTGATGGGATGAAACTGATCGGATGAAACTGATGGGGTGAAACTGATGGGATGAAACTGATGGGGTAAAACTGATGGGGTGAAACTGATGGGATGAAACAGATCGGATGAAACTGATGGGGTGAAACTGATGGGATGAAACTGATGGGGTAAAACTGATGGGGTGAAACTGATCGGATGAAACTGATGGGATGAAACTGATGGGATGAAACTGATGGGGTAAAACTGATGGGGTGAAACTGATGGGATTGTTGTGCCAACACATTACAGTGGCACGGTCATCGCACTCCCATTCGGCCTACAAGCCTGCTCAGCTTCTGGAATTTTGTGGGGAGGTTTTTCAACACGTTTTCTTCAAACCCTCAAAGTTTCATAGTTTTTGAAGCAGTTACCAAGGCATGACAACATTTTATGTTTCAAGACTTATGGCATCCCGGAAGTGTGTGTTACTCCTTTTTGGTAACACCCGAGTTCACCATTTCGGCTGCTGACTCGTCTACCGAGATCTGATTGGTCTGAAATTCGGTCTGGCAGTCCTTTGCCCCGCTGTGCAAGTGGTCACCAAGTTTCAGAACGATCCAACATCTGAGCATTGCGTGACAGCTGCCGAAATTCACTGTTCCGTAGTCATGGTGCACTGTTGGCAGCATTTCCCTTGCCACCCTTTCATTGTTGTCATGCCAATGGTGCAGGGACAGAGAATGAGACAAGAAGTACAGGTGGTCAAGTGGGACTCTATAACCCTCCTTTTGAGAAGTGTGGTCTTCCTGGAAGCAACTTGCAAGAGGGTGCAAGTGGGAAGACAAGCTGACTCATGTTGGCTTGACTCACTATTGGTAGCCTTGAGTACAGCTCTGAACATCCAAGTGTGGTTGGCTTTGCTGACCTAGCTAGGACGTTTCCCATTCTTCTCTAGCCTTTCTCCCCTAGGACTCAACCTTCTCTGAGTTCCCAGGATGACCCAACCCCTTATGAGTCCCCTAGGCAATGTTGTACTCACCTCTTCCTTGCATCAATGAGAATACACGTTTTTTCAGCCGAGCTTACGTTTTCGTTCACTGCGTAGTGCACACACCTCTGATAATAGCAAGTAATATACCGTTGGAAAGCAGACACCTAAGGCTAACCGCTGTCCAAGTTTCAGCCTCGTATTATCTCGGAGCTGATCGTGACGGCGTTTTGAACAGAGGCGGTTTGAAGACGTCAGATTCTGCTTAGGCGGTTTCATGGGCATCCGCGACCCCTAAGTGGACTGCAGACTATAACAAGTGGTATCAGAGCTGTTCTACTCTGTTCGTGGGTGAAAATGGAGGCTGAAGGTTCTGCTCCAGCTGGTCCCAGTGGCAGTGGTGGCGTGAGAGGCGCTGGGGAAGCGGGAAGAGGCGTTGCAGGCGGATCTGCGCCAATGGCTTCAGTTTCAACATCAGCTAAGGATGATGTGAAGGCATTCAACCTGGAGAAGTTCTCTGGGGATGATTGGGCATCATGGAGCTTCAGGATGGAGCTCCTCTTCAACCATTATGGGCTGCTTGAAGTGATGGATGGAGAATTCAAGAGGCCTACGAGCGAAGGAGCGACCAAAGAATGGGATCGCCGGTCCAAGGATGGATTCTTCCTTCTCTCCCAATGCCTCTCATCCAACCAGCTGCACCACATCAAGCATCTCATCAAGGAAGCTGAGTGTGGTCCTAAGGCATGGAGGATATTGAAGGATGTCCATGCCCCCAGCAGCGAAGCAATGGTGGTGGTGCTCGAGCGACAACTCCATGCGGTGAAGATCAACGAGGGTGATGCCGTACAAGGAGCGTTCGATCAACTCCGGGACCTCTATGTGAAGCTCTCAGCTGCTGGTGTGGACTACCCTGAGAAAATCAAGTGCTACAAGGCTCTCTCCCTGCTGCCGGAGTCGTGGGGGCCCTTGGTGGTCAACCTTAATGGGATGAAGGACTCGTGGTCCCTTGAGTGGATTCGCGCACAAGTTCTTCAAGAGGAGTTTCGGAGGAAGGAGCTGACCGCCGCTGCCGGTGAAGGTGGAGGCTCTGCCTATGGCATGAAGGGCTTCAAGGGGCGTGGCAGCAAGAAAGGGAAGGCCAAGGAAGGCTCTGGAGGGGAGCATCATTCGGGAGGGAAGCGTGGCAACAAGGGAGGCAAGCGGTGTGGCGGCAAGTGTTGGTATTGCCATGTGGAAGGGCACCCATGGTTCAAGTGCCGCAAGCTACCTGACGGTTGGAGGCCTGGTCAGCCATCAATTGAGGGCTCCAAGGGTGTTCATGGAGCTATGGGAGAAGGCATGGGCAGTGAGGATGGCGAAGGAGGTGCTGGCGGATACGGCGGCATGTTCTACCATGTAGGGGAGGCGTGCCCCGAGGACATGGTTGTGCCGGCCAGCAAGATTGCTCTTCACCGCTCCTCCCATTGGGTCATCGACACGGGAGCCTTCATGACCATGACCAACCGAGAGGATCTACTGGATGAAGTTAGGCCATCAAAGGCAGCCACCGTCGTTTCAGCCACCGGCCAAGTTGTACCCGTGCGTGGCGAGGGGAGAGCCATGTTCATGGGTGCGGATGGGAGGCTTGTGGGGCTGAAGCGTGTTCTCCTTGTTCTTGGATTGTGTGCCAACCTCCTCTCTACCAAGGCCCTAAGTGAGGCAGGGATGAAGATGGAGATGTTGGGCACAAAGGTTTTCAAGGCAACTCTGGATGGGCGCGTATTGTGGGACCTCCGAGGCGGCAAGGACATGCACCGGTCTATGTGGGAGATACCGGTGCTGCCATGGAAGGAGGCGGCTGCGCGCTTGGCTGCTGGAGATGTGAGAGGAGGGCGTGTTAACCACGTGGACAATGGAGGGGGTGGTGATGACAGTGATGGTGGGCTCCTTGGGCATGGAGGGGCTGCGCTTCCAAGTGTAACTCCTAGCACGGGTGAGACGGATTGGCTCACCGCACACCGTCGCTTTGGCCACGTGGCGCTACCTCAGTTGCAGCAGCTGTTTAAGGAGGAAAGAGTCAAGGGGCTGAGGATAAAGGGGGAGCCCAAGGAGGTGGGATCTTGTGAGACTTGCTTGACCAGCAAGTTTTCACGGTTTCCCTTCCATTCGGTGGAGGGGAAGTCGAGTGACCCGGTGGAGCTCGTGCATGTGGATCTCGTGGGACCCATGAAGGTGAAGGGAGATGGTGGGGCCCTGTATTCTATGACCATGGTGGATGACAACACAAGGCTCACCTGGTCCTTTCCACTTGCAAAGAAGAGTGATGCTGCAAGGGTCATCATTGAAGAGTGGCTGCCCATGGTGGAGCGAGAGAGCGGCAAGCGGGTGAAGGCGATACGTAGTGACCGTGGTGGGGAGTTCTTGGGAGCGGAGTTCCGGAGCTGGCTGAAGCGGCATGGCATCAAGCAGCAGCTCACCACGGCCTACACCCCTCAATCCAATGGCGTGGCAGAGAGAGCGAACCGGACCATCTTGGAGGGCGGGAGAACGATGTTGGTAGACTCGGGTCTACCCTTACGGTTCTGGCCCCTCGCTATTCGCCATGCCACCGTCATCAAGAACCGAGTATTGACTCATGTGGGAGGGCAGCATTGGGTCCCTATGGAGAAATGGAGGGGCAAGAAGCCTCTGGTGGATATGCTTCGAGTCTTTGGGTGCATGGGACTCGTGCGCGTCCCTAAGGAAAAGCGTGACAAGCTTCAAGCGGCGGCGGTGTGGGCTGTTCATTTGGGACTTGCACAAGGGAGCAAGGGGTGGCTCATGTGGGACCCAATAGCCAACACCATCTTCACCACCAGAGATGCCAAGTTCATGGAGGGGCTCATGTTCAAGGAGTGGTTGGAGCGAGGGAGGAGCAAGGTCACCATTCCGCTCG